AGGAGCAGCTTACTACTTCATGCCAAGATGATGTCAGCAGTGTGTCACTCTAAAAGAGGGATGGGACCCTGAGCTCCTGAAGGGTCTCACCAGCCCAGTGCCCAGGCCACTGTGGTCCCTCATTCTCAAAACCCTTAGATACACATGGACAGGCACTCGAAATGCAGCCAGGGTCCACCAAGCTACCAGAGTCACAAGCTGGGAGGCGGGAGCATCAGCGAGCCATGGAAACCCTAGGTCTTCATTGCTAGGATTCTGTAGTGTCTTGCACACAGGCAATGAGCCAGAGAAGCCCTGGCTTGCCATTGAGCCACAAGGGTGTGGCCTGGGGAAGTGAGGGCACCAGTGTGCGAGACCCCCAGACCTTTTACCATCCCCCACTGCCTCCCTGCTGCCCCTTGCTGCCACCTCCCAGGTTGGAAGCCACAGCCAGTGGAGAATGGGCTACAACTGGGTGACCATGCATAATCAGCACCTGAGGATGGCTCTGATCTGCTGAGAACTGGTCCTAACTTTACACTGTGATTCTGATTGTCTGTCACGCTGTCAGGTAACCCAGGAACCCCAGAAGCCCAACTCTCTTACACCTATGAATTTAGCTTTGCCCTGACTCAGAGCAGGAATCAGCTCTTGCAGAGATGGGGCTCATCTGGGCCCTACACATCCCCTTTGCCATGGGCAGCCCAGCATTGGGTCCCTCACATCCCAGACCAGGTTCAGGAGGACCATCCTGAGCACATTCACTGGGGTCTCTCAGCCAGTGAAGTTAGGGAGGGCCTGAAGGAGATTATTCAGTCAATCAGAGACCTGAGTTTTTCATTTTGTGGTTTTGTTGGGACTGCTTGTTATAGAAGGTTTTGTTTGGGGTTTTTATTGCTGCTATTGTTTTTTGATGTTTTATTTGCTTTTTGGGAGGGCTGGCAGGGACCTGGGCTCTAGAGTCTGAAGTAAGATAGCAAACACTGCTTTGAGTCCTGGAGAAGATGACTTTGGGTAGAGCACTCACCCCTGCGTTAAAGGATAAAATGTTCTCTGGAACAAGCCCGTGAGATGTCACAGACACGTCTGCTTAGAAGGCTGTTGTTTTATCAACAGGAAATCAACATCCAGCAAGCATGTCATTTTTCCTGGAACTCATATTTTTTCCTGGAGGACAACAAAAACTGGCTGATAAAATGCATCTTAGGAGGGGCCCCATAGACTCCTTAATTAGCACATGCTGACACACAGAGAAAACATGCAGCTTAGCTTTTAAGAAAATATGTATTATTGATTCTAAAGGCCAACCAGTTGTGTGTGTGTGTGTGTGTGTGTGTGTCCCCATCCGTCCTTTGGGTTGATTCCTGTGAAAGGAGATTGGAAATACAGCAGCTCTGTGTTGTGCACACATCCAGCTGTGGTTTTGACTCTCCCAGAGTTTGCTGGGCTTTTCTCTCACTGGGGTGCACTTTGGTGGAATCTTGAACCCTCTGCAGTCCTGAAAGCTCGTTAATCCTTAGAACTTCTGAACTGAGATGGATGTTTGTTGGGATCCAGCCTCATTTCCCTTGCTCCCTCTCTTAGGGGCCTGCTCTGAGGGGCCCAGTCTCCCAGCCAGCCAGATGGCCCTCAGCTCTGTCCCTGGAACCTGTAGCCCCTGCTCCCTTGATTGTTTGGTCTGGGAGCAAAGATGACATGCCCTGGTTATCTCTGTGCCCCACATGAGGTAGAGGGCCTGTCCTTGCCGAGCAAGGCCCGTGGGAACGTGGCAGGCTGTGACTTTGCGTGTCTAATTCTGGGGCACTGTTGTCAAGCCTGCTGGGTCAAGTCCAGGCTTTCTAGGCAGCATTGCAACAAGAAAATGACATTTTGATTAATTTCTGGGCTCAGTTCCTGGTTCTGATGTCACGCAAGGCTGGTGGCTGGGCTAGGAACACTGAGAAGTAGACAAACATGACATCCCAGGGGAAAGTTCACACATGGATGTTGAGACTTTAGTTGGAGACTTAATGATGTGCTCCAGGCCTCAGATGGAACCCAGCCCCAGAAGGCAGAGCAGGAGGTGAGCGCAGAACTGAGAGAAGCAACTCTGCTGGTTTTGTAGGAGGAGAAAGGGGCTGGGAGCCAAGGAAAAAGGCATCTTCTAAAAGCCGGAAAAGGTCAGGGTGGTACTCCAGAAAGAATATAGCCCTGCCAACACCTTAATTTTAGCCTGATGAGACCTATGTTGAACTTCCAACCAATACTACTATAAAAAAATAAATGTGTGTTGTTTAATTAAAGTTATGGTCATGTGTTACAGAGCAATAAGATAGTCTTAGGATTCTTTGAACTCTTTAAAAGTGTAGCACATGGGCCAATAATTTAAAGGAACTTCATCCATTGCTACACTAAGGACTTTGTACCCATGTCATGGGTCAGAGGGAATTAGGCAGCAGGCAAGAGATAAAACTGGATCTAGGCATGGAAGCAGCCCTCTGGAAGTAACATGAGGGTAGGAAACAGGACTGAAATCACAGTGACCAGTGAGGAGGCTACTCTGAGATCCAGGCTGAAGACGATGAAGGCTGGCGCTGTCAGGGATCCATGGAATGGAGCAGAAAGGATTCACAGGAAAAGAGTTTTGCAGAGAAGAGTGTAAGGATTGGCCACCCATGGGATGCTAGTGGAGAAGGAGGAAGCAGTTTCAATGGTTACAAGTGTCCAACTTGGGTAACAAGGAGAATGGAAAATAAAATGAGAAAGAGGGGGCTGGGGTGTGACTCAGTGACAGAGGGTTTGCCTGGTATGCACAAGGCTCTAGGTCTTATCCCCAGGACTGAAAGGGGAAAAATCTGAAAGAGGAGAAGCAGGATGAGTGTAGGAAGTGTACACTAAGAGTTTGTCTTGGATGTGTTCATTCCCAATGGAGATTTCCAGCAAACAGGTGGAAATGCGGATGCGGGGCTCAGTTGGGCAGTGAGGGTGGAGATGGAGATTTGGGGATGATACAGACACAGCTGAAGCGTGGGTATGCAAGAAGGTCATCATGTGGAGTGAGCTGTCCACCCAGGACTGAAACCCGGGGAACTCCCAGGCTCAAGGGCAGGCTAGCCAAAAGCACAAGAGTGACTTGGGAGGAACGGGGAAAGGAAAAGGGAAGGAGTGGGAGGAAGAATCAGGAAGGAATGGGAAGAAGAAAGTCACATGTGGTACCCATTCCAACAACCATGCAAAGGCCATCCTTTCCCTAGACCCCCCTCTGCCCTGCCCAAGTCCTCCAGGAGCTCACAGCACCTACGCTCTGTCATGGCACCTCTTCTTGCATCTGCAGTCATCTCAAGCCCACCCAGGGTCCTTTGGTCTTCTCTCTACTTGTCATTTCTGTGCTGTGGACATGGGCATGCCTCCTCCTTCCTCCTGCTCCCTAGAGACATTTCTCTCAGAATTCTCTCAGACAATTCTCTCACTCTAAAACCCATCTCAGAGGTCCTAGCAGGCACCCAGGGAAGAGGGGAAGGGTGTATATGGCCCTCCAAGAAGAAACCCTCAAGGTCTTCCACACCACCAAGTCTGCACGCCCCTTCATCTCTCTCTACCTCATGGCCTCCTTCCTTCCTTCCTTCTTTTTTCTTTATTTTGTTTTCTCTCTTCTTTCTTCCATTTTCTTTTGTCTTCTCTCTTCCTTCTTCAATTGACACATACAATCCTTAATTTTAGCCTGATGAGACCTATGTTGAACTTCCAACCAACACTACTATAAAATAATAAATTTGTGTTGTTTAATTAAAGTTATGGTCATGTGTTACAGCAGCAATAAGACATTACAATGTGACATTTCAATGTCACATTATCCTGTAATGATCAGGATAAGGGAAAGTGGCATATCCATCACCTCAGATCTTCGTGTGTATGTGCAAGCGCGCGCGTGTGTGTGTGTGGTTGTGTGTGAGACACTGAACATACTACTAGCTATTTTGAAATATTCAATTAATTGTTATCACCAGTTAACAAAGCCATCTTTATTATAACCAGAGACAGAATATTACAAGGGGGATCAGAGGCTGGGGTTCCAACCCACCACTTCCTGTTACAGAGCCTTAGCCAAGTCCCCTAGCCTTTTAAGCTCAGTTTCCCCACCTGTAAGTGCATAATCCTGCTGACCCCCACAGAGAGGTCATGGGGTTTCTGAATTACACATGCAGTGTCCTTGGCTCAGTGCCTGAAACAAGGTAAGTGCTGATAAACGTTAGTTCTTTGTCACCTTAGTAATGAACAGGACAGGGTAACTATGTGAAATATCGCCCTGCTCCGGAGCTTCTCCTGGAAGGATGACTAGATATTCGCCTTACATTGGGGCACTTTTTCATCTGTTCTGGTGACTTTATTCTCTGTCCCAAAATTGTCTGCTTTCAACTGCTCACTTCCTATGCCTCCATAAAGTGGAGTAGTGCAATTCTCTCTCTACCCAAAAAGGAAAAGATGTTTGGAGAAGCTGCTACACAGAATGAGGACCCCACCCTTAAACCACAGAAAGCCAGCGGGGAATGAAGATGGAGGGAGCCCTTTCTTTTCCTTCTTTTAAGATGGAAGTGCTGAGAGGGAGCATGTTTGGAAGCTGAGGAAAGGAATGGCCAGAAAGGAAGTTGAACCTGCCAAGAGATGGGGGGCAGAGCTCAGGGAAGGAGCAGGGCCACCTGCCACCTTGAGCCCTTCCCAGGAGTCTGGCCTGAACAGGACAAGAGAGAAAGGCTGGTGGTACACGCTCAGTAAGGTGGGGATGTTGTCATCTGCTGAGAGCAGTGAGGTGAAACTTGGAGGGAACTCAAGGAGCTGGGAGGAGTGTAGAGACACTGCCGTGAGGAATTAAATAGGAAGATGTGAAAGCCTCGCCAAATAGTTGCCAGGAAGTGCAAAAGCATGGCTAACCTGGTAAGTCCAGTCATCTGTGGCTCTTTCCCATAACCACTAGACTCCCTGACCTCTGCCATGTTCACATTTAAACATCTGAGTAGGCAAAACTTTAAAAGAGAGGCATAGCATTACGTAAAAATGGCATTACAGATTTATTGTCTGACAGGTTAAAATACAAATGCACTTATAATAAAGCAGTTTAAAAGCTACTCCCATTGTCATGGCCATGTTTCCATCCTCAACTTGATAGTGCACATTTCCACGCCCTGTATTGCGTGAACAGATGATCAGTCTGTGGGAAAGAGCATAGCCAGCCTCCTGAGTACACAGGTTCCATCTTCCTTGTTGCCACAATCTTCCAGAACACTCTGCAAGCCTCTTCTGGTTTGCACATTTTGATTTCTATTTCCAAGTCCAGGCTTTGGGACACATTTCTGGCATCCTACTCCACACATATTAAAGTTGAGTAGGACAAGAGAATTCCATTCCTAAACATGAAATTGGTAGAACATAAATCTAACTTCCCCTGAACTACCATGGGAGCCTCTGCTGACTGCAGGTTCTGCCCTCACCTGAGTTCTTCCTGTTGCTGTCTCCCACAGCACAGGCAGCCATCTTGCTCAGGACCCACCCTGCACAGAGCTCAGCACAGAGGGCAAAGGTGGCCTCTGGACACTTCCAACATGAACTGGGGCTGTTTGTGCTGCTGAGAAAACTCTCCCATGGACCCCAGTGTCCAGTGACAGCTGTGGAGGGAATGAGGTCTGCTAGCATACTTTGTCACATTCCACTCTTTTGGATTCTCACAATATGAGTGCAAGACACCAGCATTGTAACACACTTTGATTATAGAGAGGCCTTATCGATCATTAACATTTGCATCAAACAATTAATGAAAGCAAAATCAAGTTTACTGCAGTAAACAGATGATTATCAGTGGAAATGGACAAAAGATACCTCAGACATACATCTCTGATGATACTGTAAGTAACTATAGCATTTGGGGGAGTGCAATCATGCAGGATGTGACAATAAACATAAGCTATGACTCAGCTATTCACTTTTGGAAACAGCTCCAAGGAGATAGGACAAAGGTCAAAAAAGAAAATTTTGTACAAAGATGTTTGCTGCACTCTCTCTATACTAGGAAGATATTTAAAATAGACTATCAACTAGCCAGGCAGGCAACACATGCCTGTAATCCAGTGGCTTGGGAGGCTGAGGCAGGACGATTTCGAGTTCAAGGCCAGCCTCAGCAACTGAGCGAGGCCCTAAGCAACTCAGTGAGACCCTGTCTCTAAATAAAATATAAAAAGGGATAAGGATGTGGCTCAGTGGTTAAGCGCCTCTGGGTTCAATCCCTGGTACCAATTTAATAATAATAATCCTATCAACTAAGTAAGTCCTTAACAAACCATAATATGAAGGTACAAAGCAGAAGTATGGATGACCATTCAAAATGCTACAAACTATATTCATGCATGCATTTTATATATGAACTAATAAATGAAAGTAAAGGTAGAATACAATAGATTCAATATATACTTGCACACAGATGAAAATGTATACAGGTGTACACATATCATGCCACGAGTGAATCAGGAATGATGTAAATAATTGGTATTTAAAGTTCTCGGAATTTTTAATATTAAGACCAAGACAAGCTTCAACTTGAGAGAGGGGAAGTGGGGGAAGAGATCTAGAGGTATCTGTGGATGCTTGAGTGACACCCAGGAGAACCCTATGAGCCTCAAAGGCAGAGTCTAGGCAGGACAGGGTTCTCATCCTCGACACTGCCGTCATTTGGGGCCCAACATGGTAGGATGATTACCAGCACTGCTGGCTTCTATCCACTAGATGCCAGCAGCACCCTCCTACTCCTGACAATCAGAATTACCTCCAGGAAGTCTAAGAGTGGAGATTGAGAGGCCAAATCACAGTTAAGGACTGGTGAGAATGATAAACAGACACCAACTCTCCACCTCAGCTGTGGGCAGGAGGTAGGAAGCGATAAGGATTGGGAGAGCCAGAGACTGTGTGCCCTTCTAAAGCAGCCAGTCCCTATTCACCTGGACATCCAGAATGACAAATCCTGACTTCTTAAGATTCACAGCTAACTCAAAGTTAAAACATAATGCATCCAGAGCCTCACATGCATCAGCTACAGCAGGCTTCCACGCACTTTCTGCAAGGGCCAGATGGTGAGCATCACAGGCTCTGCAGGCACAACTGTCTCATTTGCCTTGACAGGGAGAAGCAGCCACAGATGATGAATGGACAATGAGTAAGGCTGGGTTCCAATGAAGCTTTATTTATGTGCACTGAAACTTTAATTTCATATGTTTCACTTCATGAAACATTCTTTGATTTTGTTTTCAACTGTTGAAAATGCCAGTACCATTATCAGCTGATAGTCCCACCAAAACAAGGCCAGGATTTGGCTCAAGGGCCATGGTTTGAGACCCCCTGGGCAGTAGTGTGCCCGCAGCAGTACCAGCAACTAAAGGCATCCTGGAAAGGAGGACAGGTCAGCCCTGGGTGGCCAGACACCCCAGCACACAGGGAGGAACAGCAGGCCTCAGAGGGGCCTACGCTAGGGCTCCTTTCTCAACTCTTCCCCTCCCGCCTCTTCCAAAAGCCCCACACAGTATCTCCACTTTGCTGCCTCCAGGACGAGAAGGAAGGCTTCATTGTAAAAAAGTAAATAAATAAATAACACAGATTGGTTTCTCTGACTTTTCTTGACTTTTTTTTTCTATTATTGTAAAAAAGAGGACACCATTGGGCACCAACCCAATTGTTTTGCAGGGTTTCCAGAGTCCTAGAAAACTCTTTTAAGAGGGATTTTGTCTGTTTTTAATGACTTTGCTAAAACGCAAGTCTCCTTGCTTGTGTCCTCACAATGCCTCTTTGACAGAAAACACAGATGGCCTTTCTCTAATCACAGAAGCAGCCCAGGATTCTGGGAGTGGGGAGACTTGGGGACTTGATCCAGAAGAAGAAGCCACCAGTGGTTTCTGAGCTTGGAGGCCTGGCCCTGAGTCTGCACTGGAGAGCTGAGTGAGCAGCCCCCTGGACTGGCTTCAGTGAGGCCACCTTGGGTCTACCTAGAGCAAAGCAGAGAGCCTCAGCTCCCTACCCCTGGAAGGCAATGAAAGTAAACAGGGCAGATGATGGAGGGAGGCTGATGGGAATGGAGAGGAAAGAAAAGAAAAAAGAAATAAAACAAGAAAATAAAGAGGAAGAGTTGAAATGATGCTCTGGGAGTAGGGGGAAGAAGCAAAAGACAGGAGGCCAGAAGTGAGAAAAGGGAAGAAGAAATGAAACAGAGGAAGGGCTGGGCGGCATCTGCCAACTACCAAGTCAGCCTCAGTGACTAAGAAGGTGCGGGCAGAAAGCAATATTTTCATTTTGGAATCCAGTCACTGGAGCCATTTGGGATCCTTCTCACTCCCTAGCCATCAAATTATTGAATGTTCAGATTCAAAAGCCTCATCAGGTGCATGCCTGTAAACCCAGTGGCTTGGGAGGCTAAGAAAGGAGGTTGGCAAGTTCAAAGCCAACTTCAGCAACGGCGAGGCACTAAGCAACTCAGTGAGACCCTGTGTCTAAATAAAAGACAAAATAGGGCTGGGGATAAGGCTCAGTGGTAGAGTGCCTCTGAGTTCAATCCCCAGTATTTATATATAAAAAAAAAAAAGCCTCATCAGATATAAGACAGACAAGATGGTGAGGTTCGAGGCTCTCCACCCCCACACACCTCCCACAGGATCTCACTGAGTTGTTTAGGACCTTGTTAAATTGCTGAGTCTGACTTTGAACTTGCAATCTTCCTGCCTCAGCCTCCTGAGCCATTGGGATTACAGGTGTGCAGGTACCCCTTTTGTTTGGCTTCTTTCTCCTCCCAGGCTTGAAAGCAGGATGAAGGGGTAAGGGGGTGAGCTAGAAGCCAACGGTCTCATTCCCCAATGCCTGCTTCGTGCTTCTCTCACTCACAGGTTTACCAGCAGTCACTGTTCTGAAAACTAGGCCTGAAAAGCCCTGGGACTGGGTCTGCAGCCACCTTAAACCTCATGAGGATTCTCATTTGAACATAATGAGGAGGGAGACAGGGTTGGGAGAGCAGCCACACCTTCCTGTGCCCATGGTAAGAATGCAGCTGAGGACAGTAACAGGTGACTCCACAGGGACAGGAGGAGATACAGGCACAAACATAAAACCAGCAACAAAACCATGGCTAGAAAAATACATGATCCCAGAGGATTCCACTGAGTGGCTACCCTACCCCATTGTGTTCCATTTGAGAGTGTTCCATTGAACACTCTCAGCATCACTCCATTTGAGAGTGTTCCATTGAACATTCTCAGCATCACTCCCAGAGAGGACCTGGAAGGTCAAAGTCCCAACTGTGACCGAATTACAAACCCAGAGGAACTCAGAAGTCACCATATTGGCCCACCAGATTTGAAATGTCGTGCACTAGCAATTAATTTTAGTTATAGGAAAGTAAAGCAATATTTTTGCACCTAAGTTGGAAGCCTGTGAAGTTCATATCTGCAACACAAGTACTAACTTCTAGAAGTCTCTTTGAAAAAATACTATCAGCCTTTCTGGCTGAAAATGCTGGGTTCATGGCCCTTTAGGCTGCTCAGTCATTTCCTGGCCATCCCTGTATCCCAGGCTACATGCCCTTTTCCCCCACCATGCAGGCCACAGTCTCAGCAAGGAATCCCGAATCAGCACTTTCACCAAAGGCTGCACTAATTGTCACGAGCTCTGTGCTTAGCTGGAGCAAAGGAGAAGTCCTTGTGGTGGAATTGCATTGCATGTCCCAAGGTCTTGCTCAGCCCCTGCTGGGAAGAGGACTTTCAAGGGTGTGCTCAGTAAGCATTCCTGGGCTCTGAACCAGTGTGAGGGGTCAGCATCCCTATACAAAAACCACTCAATGTTGGGTGCCTTTTTACTCCCAGGCATGGGAGCAAGATGGAAGGGCAGCAGAAGCTGGAAAATGGCCTGTAGGCTGGGACAGGACTTCTGCTCCTTTGCTCCAGCAAAGGTGAAGGGCTCAGGATATGATTTGGTGACAGAGTGCTTGCCTAGCAAGTTGAGGCCATGGGTTCAATAAAATAACCAATACAAAAAAAAAAAAAAAAACCAAAAAACAGGGTGAAAAGTTCTGGGTGGGATGTTGCTGTACACACTTGAAATTTAGCAAGGACTATGAAGAGGCTCAGGCACACCATTAGAAAATTCTACTCCATTTCTAGGCCTCTGTGTTGAGAAGAGTAAGATATTAGGGCTACATGGGAAGAATAGAACACAGGTTCCCACCAGACCACCAAGCACCAACCAAAAACAATCTTCTGGCACAGTCCCTCTGGGAACTATAAGGGATAGCCCTATAGCAAAGGCTGTGACCATGACTCAATTCCTAGGGAGACCAGATGTCCACCTAAGAAGTCTTTTGAGTTCAGAACCTGGGTCTTCATTTTTAGTCAATGTGTCAAGGAGTCCTTCAATGGAGCTTATTATCTGAACAAAAGAAAATAACTTCTTTTCCTCTACAAAGCACTCAGGCCTACCATGTCTCTTCTTCTCCCCAGCACAAGTTCACACCTGTGCCAGGCAAGCCCAACTATTAGCTCAGGGCAGGGGGAATTTCTTCAATCCAGGCAGAATGCAGAAGGGGCAAAAGAAGCGCTTCTTGCCAAGTCTTGATATCTTCTCTAGGCCAGGTCATCCACACTGAGACTGAGGGTCTCCTACCATGGTGGCCTTTAGACTTCTGTCTTGGTTTGGTCTGGAAGTTTTTCATGCACAAGAAATTCTCTGGTTGTTACTGAATTTTTCAAATATGGATTTAATGCTCCTTCCTCATAGAAATAGTCTGGTCCTAAACTTTCACCAGAAGAGAGAAGTTGCTCTTCAACTTCTGAAGAGTTATCTTCTGACATTTCTAACTTTGAGAGTTGGGATTTTCTGGAAGGAATCTCAGTTAAAACCTGCGAACTCTTTTCTGGAGGACAGTCAGGCCTGTTGGGGGAGGTTACATACTCATTCCTTTCTCCTCCCCAAATGTTCTCCTGGCCCTTTTCAGCTTCTTCTATGGACACCTCTTCCAAAAAATTCTCAAAGTTCACCACCAACTTGTCAATGAGGTCACTGGGAACACAATATGATTTTAGGATGCTATCTTCTGTGTTCACAGAGTCATCAAATTCCTTAAGATTTGGCTTATTCTGGAAAAGAAAAAGGGACATACCCCTCATTGAACTTGGGTCACCAAAGTCCCAACCCCTCAAACAGCATTCCACCTTCCTCCCTGGCTCAGAAGTGATGGCCAACCATGTGAGCTTGGCAAGAGTGAAGCAACAGCTCCTGAGAAACAGCACCTTGTATTCAAAGAAGTCTTCCAGAGAGCTCAAGGCTATTTTCCACACAATGTTCACAAAATCCCAGGCAAGATGGGAGTACCAAATTTAGAACTTTTGGAGATGGAAAAACTATATCCCTGACAGTCCTGCCCAGTACCACCAGATGTGTCCTTGTCATCTTGTATCCCCAGGATCTCACCCAGGCCTGATACACAGTAGGCGATTAATCAGTGCTTGCTGAGAGCTGGCTTGCAGATTATTCAAAAAGCACTTCAGTCATCAGACCACACTGCCTATGAATTCATTTATTCTCTAGATAACTTTCAATAAGTAGAAAAGTGAAGAGGGTGACTTAAGACTGAAGAGGGAGAAAATAGAAATTCATTTTCACCAAAAATGCCCATGCCACAGAAGACTTCTGAGATGAAACAAGGGCTAATATTTGTAATGCCTGTAACAAGGAAAAACTGGTAATAGTCTTTCCACAATAAAGATTTAAAGGTTATTATATTTGATGGGGCCTATTCCTACTTAAGCAAGAAATTATACCTTAGAAATTTCATAACAATTTTCAATATAAAAACTTAGAAACAGGAGGGTTTCTACTTAAAGAAAGTATACTAGAAAACCCTAACCCCCAATTACATAAGGTGACTCTAATTTTCTCAGTCTGAGAAAAATGATTTGAGGCAGCCTTTGGATCGCCATGATTGTCACATCCCCTCAGGGTCTCTAGGTGGTCCCTAGATTAATTTGTTCTTGTCTGCTTTTTAAATGACCTCAAATCTTATAGCGAAACTACCTCCTACTCCTCCCTCTCCTCCCCCTCCTTTTTTATCTTTCTTTACCTCTCTCTCTCTCTCTCTCTCTCTCTCTCTCTCTCTCTCTCTCTCTCTCTTTCATTAGACTATCAAGTCATTGAGGATAGGGTTGGGGTCTTTCTTCAGCACCAAGCTTTACAAGACCAGCCCCATGCTGAGAACACACTGGATCCTTGCTAATAAGTCCTTTCCTCTTGTGCAGAGTACAAGGTCAAAGTCATTCCAGGAAGGCTGATTCCATCTGCCCTACCAGATGTTCCCTGGAACTTTCCAACCTTGAGTTCTCTCTACATGAACCCTAAATAAAAGCCCAGCTCACGACTTCCCCACAGCTCCACTCATCTGGTCACTTCCCACACCAGCCCACAATGACTTCCTGAACAGAAACAGTGGTGTTGTTTGTTTACCTTGCAGTCATTTCCGAGCCACGTGGCTATACTACTTTCAGCAGGGTTGGGGACAATGGGCCAACACAGGTGAGTCAACTTGCTAATGAGAGATAAGAAAAAAGAAAAGAAAAACCAAACAGGAGGTAAGTTCACAAAGTGTCTTACACATGTTGCATGGCTGAGGCAGAACAGTGAGGTTTGCTAAAGAGTACTGCATGGCTCCCCACTAACTAACTAAGGGCAAGCTGCTGGTCTCCTGGCAGAGATAGGGAAAGTGAATTAGTTTGGGGAGGGAAGTTGTAAACTATCTATGAAATGTGATGGGAGGAGACCTCTCCCCTTGTAAAGCTGTTCCTTTTTTCCTTTATCTCCCACCCCTGAGTCTTTACACCTGTACTGATGCTGAAAACTGCACCATCACAGTCACTCCTTTGAGCTATTGCCTTGGAAAGGCAACACTTTTAAGCTACTACTTTAGTGGATTCCAATTTGCAGCACCATAGCAAATGCAAAAAGAGCTCATTGCAAATGAAAATTATTGGGTTTCACTCCAGAACCCAGAATCAGAAACCCTTGGGGCAGGGCTCAATTCTGATGGAGGCTAAAAACTGAGAAAAATTAGTCAAGTGTATAAAGTACAAAAAGTTTGTGGATGATTTGGACACAATCTGTGGTTGGTAACTGAGGTTGACATTAGCTTAATTATTAACTAAACACAGCTGCTTGACCTACAAGTGTCCAGTGTGGAGAGAGAGCTCTACCAAGAAGGACCTTCAGGGAAGCATGAGGCTCACTGTGAGGAGAAACACAAGATCCTGAAGACAGGCTTCCTTCTCCACACTAGACAGAGTAAGAAGGACAAATGTCCCTGCAGCCAGCTCTTCAACACTGTACCACAAGCAAGGAACAAAATTGTAGTGTCATACAACTGGTCAATGTTCTAATCCCAGAAGTACAAAACTCCCTGCTCTGCCTCTTGCCATTGTTGGGGTCCCTCTAGCAACTCTAGTCTCAAATGGAAGAGCAGCCGACACTCCCTGCCTCAGAAAGGCCTTAACCTAGTGTGTGGAGCTGTGCAGGTGTGAAAGTCCTCCTGATTGGTCACAATTCTTATGAACCACAGAAAGTGACCCTTAATGATCTCAATAAATATCTACCAATATCTTCATGGTGGCCTCTTGCATCATGTGCCCATGATGTCTTCCACCCTTTTCCATCCCTAGGTTTTAAAGCACCTACTATTACGTATAAACTCACGTTGCTTTTTTGAGACCAGAGGCCACAGTCAGGACCGTGAATATAAGAAGTCCTCCTCCAACCAGAGAAGTTATAAGGACAATCTCAAAGACACCTTTGGGGAAAGGAGAAGAAAAGTCTTTTGCAAGCCAAGTTCTTCACTTTCTTGACAAAAATCAAAGATTAACTTTTTCTTCTAGTAGCTCATCAACATTTCTTATTAGTTTTCTTTCAAATAAATTCAATTTCTTTCTATTTAAAAAAAAAACCCTGAGATTCATGGTTCCCCACCTAGCTGTCTCCTCCCTGCTGATGTGACAGATGTTATGACATTGTATTTGATAGACATTGAGCTTACCAAAGCCATCATCCAACTTCATTCACTCAACAAATATTTACTGAGCATCTGTCATTTACCAAACACCATTGTGAGTAATAAAACAAACACAATAAGCAAGAAATAGAAGATGCCTCCTCACAGGGAGTCTATGTTCCCATACCTGGATTAAGACAATAAACAACAAGATTGATTCAGATAAAACAGAATAATAGAGTAACTAGGATAAGGTGGAAAGCAGGGTAGAAACATCAGATAGGGTGACCAAGGAAGAAGCCACATGTGAGCTGTCCTTAACAATGAGAGGGACCTGCCATGCGAAAGTATAGAGAAACGCATTCCTGGGAGGAGCAAAAGCTTTGAAGCAGGAACAAATCAGAGAACACAGAAGCAGAAGTGACAGAAAGTGAGATCAGCAAGGGACAGATGATGAGGGACCCTGAAAGCCATGAGGAGGAGTTTGGATTTCATTTAAAATAGAAGGGCAGGAGCTGGGGTTGTGGCTCAGTAGTAGAGTGCTTGCCTGGCATGCGTGAGGCACTGGGTTTAATCCTCAGCACCACATAAAAATAAAATAAATATATTGTGTCCACCTAAAACTAAAAAAAAAATAAATATTTTTTTAAAATACAAGAGCAGGAGCTGGTGGGTTTTAAGCAGGGACTGTAAACCTGGGAACTATGGCTGCTGTGTAGACAACAGATTGTAGAGGGTCAAAGATGGAAGTGGGGTGCTTTATAATCCACAGACTAAGGAGCTTCTAGGCTTCAAGACAGAATCTTGCCTTCAGTTTGAACCTTGGAGAAAATTCCATGAGCAGATACAATTTTGTGCCTAGTGTTTTGAAAATACAACATGGGTTTTTAAATGCTCTTATGCAGCAATATCAAGAAGAGTTCCAAGAAGGCAAAGTTAGTCCATGAAACAGAACATGTTTTCTTTGTAAAGACACATGCTACATTTTCCAGAGTCCTATTTTATCTTCTAAGAATGTAAACAACAAGAGACTTCCAAAAAAACTTCAAGCAGACAATTTTTAGCTTACACAAATTATTGCAAAAACTTTGTAAGATTCCTCATTTTTAATCTAAAAGATTGTACATTCCTTAAAATTTTAATATGTACTTAAAAATCTAATCTATGTCACTCAAGGACTTGGTGAAATTAACAGTTCCTTCTTCTCCTTCATCTCCCTCCTTACTTTGTCTCCTCCCTGTCCCTCTTGAACATCTGCATTAATAATCCATCACATGAAGATACATTATTTGTTATATTTATTAAATTCTTCTTCTCTATTTTAGATGTAAAATCTGGTAAGGTGAGCAAATTATACACTTTCTTGCTCAAAAAATTTCACAAAGGCTAAAATTAAATTCTTTCTTGTGAGTCAGTGGTTCTTAATCAACCAAGGTTTTCTCTCCAAAGCCCTACTGTGCAGTAACTTCTCACATTCAGAAACTGATGACTATGACCTGGAGGACAGGCTTGTCATAGGAGCTGCTATGATGCTCAGACTGAAGTTGGTATTAAATTTATCACTTCTCCTAGAGGTGATCGGGGCTGCCCATGGGAAGGAACAAGATAACTGGTCTAAATTCAACTCTCAATTTGCCTGCCCCCCCCCCACCTCTCTCTTGACCTATATGCCTGCCAAGAAGGCAAATGAACCAGAGAACAGATGGTTCTTCTCACTTAGGTACTGTCCTTTCATCTGACTTCCCTTCCCTTTGGAAAATGCTACTTCTAAATAACTTACCATAAATGCCAAGAAGGATACTCACTGAGGGACAATGTCCTGAAGTTTATCTCCGTCCCATTTTTCCCCCCAGCTCTGGTGCTGGCCATGACACGAACAGTATAAGAGGTCTTTCGTGTCAGAGATTCCAGGTCATATTGCTGGACGCTGGAGCTGACTGTCTTGGCTAAAGGAAAAATACAGAAATCAAGGACCACTGTCAAGTGGACTGAAAATTTCATTTTAGTAGCACCAAAATAAGAGCATTGGAACCCATACTTCCATCACTTATTCCAACCCCTATCCACGACCTGCTTAAAATTAGCCTGTCAACATGGACCAAAGACCTAAATATAAGAGCTAAAACTATAAAAACTCTTAGAAAACAACATACGGTAAATCTTCATGACCTTGAATTTCACAATGCTTTCTCAAATATGATGCCAAAAGCACAAGCAACAAAAGAAAAAATAGATTAAACATAACTTCATTAAAGTTAAAAGGGCTTGTTCATCAAAAGACATACCAAAAGAATGAAAGACAACTCACAAAACTGGAGAAAATATTTGCAAATCATATGTTTAATAAGAAGTTTATATCCACAACTATAAAAAATTTTTGTAACAGCAACAAAAAGACAATCTGATTTTAAAATCGACAACAAGATTAAAGATAGATTTCTCTGAAGAAGATATACAAATGGCGGATAACTACATGAACAGACTGTAACAGTAGGGATTAGAGAAATGTAAATAAGTGAGAAACCACTTCATACCCACTATAATAGCCATAATAGTTTTGGGTTTTGGGGTTTTTTTTTTTAATGATAAGTAAGAAGCGTTGGCAAGGATGCAGAGAAACTGAAACCCTATACATTTCTGGTGGAAATGTAATCATTGTGAAATATGGTGTGGTGGGGGCTGGGGCTGGGGCTTAGCGGTAGAGTGCTCACCTAGCACATGCAAGGCACTGGGTTCAATACTCAGCACCATATTAAAAACATAAATAAATAAAATAAAGGTATTATGTCCAACTACAACTAAAAAAAATATTTAAAAAATAATTTGGTGGTGTCTCAATAAGCTAAAGCACCATATGATTCAGCAGTTCCATTCTGAGGTATACACCCAAAAGAACTGAAAGCAAAAACCCAGATATTTGCACATCAATATTCATAGAAGCATTATTCATAGGATCTATAGGTCAAACAACCCAAAGCCTCATCAAACAATGAATGTGTAAACAAAACATCAAATAACCATACACTGAAATATTAATCCATCATAAAAAGGCCCTAAGGACTCATTAATGCTATAACATAGAAGAAGTTTGAAAGCTGCATATTGTATGACTTTATTTATTTTTATTTTTCATCATTTTGCAGTACTTAGGATTGAACCCAGGGCATTGTGCATGCTTGGCAACCACACCCCAGCCCTAATTATATTTATATGAGATGTTCCTTAATAGGCAATACATAGAAACATAAAGCAGCTTGGTGAATTCCAGAGGCTATAAGAAGTAGGGGATAGGAAATGACTGATTAAAGGGTACAGAGTTTCTATTTGAATGAGAATAGAAAAGTTCTGGAAATAGGGGTGATGGTTTCATAATATTGCAAATATTATTAATGCTAATAAATTGTACAACTTATTTAAAAGGGTAAATTTTATGTTATGTGTATTTTACCTTATCCTAGACAGGGATCCAAGCATATCCCAAAATTTAAGATATCAGGAGATACTGTAGGAGATCCAACATGGCGGAGGGCGCAGAGAGATCAAGTCTCTGACCTCTTCAGCTGCGCTGGCATAGGGAGTCGTAAACCGTCTAAATGCTGTTTGCTCAGGATCACTAGGAAATGCTGAGCTGATGTGGATCTGGGGCGAACAGTCTGGGCCTCTCAGAACACACACCGAGCCTGGATCAGCTGAATTCAAGCTCCCGTTCGCCTGCTTCTCGCAGACAAACTGCTGTGACTCAGCACTAAACGATCCCGCTGAAACAACTGGTCGGCTCTTCTGAACCTACAGAGGTTAATGCCAACCAAGCCTTCATAGGCAGTGGCCACAGGATTGAAACGGGGCTTGGGAGAGCCAGTCAGGACCCACCCGTTGCATTGGTCACCCGGCAAAGGGAATGAACTGTCGCCATTTGCATGGGATACCACCATGGCAGAGAACTGACGTCACCAGAATGCGGCGGAGGAGATAACTCCATTGAAACTGGCGGCGACAGGTGTGTAACCCCCTAGCCTTCCCTCTCCACACAGCGGGGAAACCTTAAGGGCCCCTCCCAGCTCTCCCGTGAGCGCGATAGCCAGACCGAGGGAATCAGGAGTGGCGCAGGACCCGCGGCGCGGAACTCCCGGCTACCACTCCCACCAGTGCTGACAACTGAGGTCTCTTGCACCAGCTACCAGGGGCGTGGCTACCGGAGGGCAAGCAAAATTCGCTGAGGGTTCTCAGCCCCAAGCTCTACAAACTTAGGGTCTGAGGGAATGGCAAACAGGGAGAGTGTGCCCAGTTGTTCATGAAAACAGGGCTCCCGGGAGCAGCAGACCTGGCGTGTAGCCAGTATTGTGGTGAGCGTCACCGGTGAGCGGGGCCTGGCTTGAGGAAAAGTGGGGAAGTGACTAGACACAAGAGAAGGCCCTAGGCACTCAGGATTGGAGACCCGCCCAGTCTGGGAGGAGGAGCTGCTGCACAGTGATTGGTTCCCGCGTATTGAGAGGAGAAGCTTGGCCCGGTGGGAACAGCTCCACCTACTGGAAGAGAAGTTAATCAAACTCTAAGACTGCATTTATTAATTTTTTAATTTTTTTTTAATTTGGGTTTTTTTTCATTTTCATTTTTTTGTTGTTTTTTAAATTTTTTAAAAAATTTTTTTATTATTTTTTTAATTTTAATTTTTATTTTTTTTTAATTTTTTAAAATTTTTTTATTTTCTATTTTTTCCTTTTGTCTTTTCATTTCTTTTCAATTTCCTTATTCCCCCTTCCTTGAATTCTACCTGCTTATTCTCATTCTCTTTAGTGACTTCTTCCCTTCCATTCTAATACCTTTCCTCCCAAGCATCAAATAAATTTATAGAAGTAAACAGTAACTCAGCAGACAAACAGAACAAGAAGTAACATGAGCAGCATGAAAAAGCAAGGAAGAAAAGGAGTACAAACAATGCAGGACAGCCTAAATATTCAGGAGGACCTAGAGGCATCAGAAAAATGGTCAAATAAAGAACTCAAGGATTACCTTAGACAGATGGAATGGAACCTTAAAGAGGATATGAGACAGCAAATTCAAACAGTGAAAGAACACATTAAAAATGAATTACATAAACAGATAAAAGAAGAAATTAAGCATCTTTATCAGGAGATAGAGATTATAAAAAAAAATCAATAATTCTAGAAATGAAGGAAACTATAAACCAAATTAAAAACTCAAATGAGAGTATCACTAACAGAGTGGAGCAAGTAGAAGCCAGAACGTCAGATAATGAAGACAAAATATATCATCTTGAAAAGAGTCTAGCCAACTCAGAAAGGCTGGTAAAAAATCACAAGAAAAACATCCAAGAGATATGGGATAACATAAAAAAACCAAACTTAAGAGTCATCAGGATAGAGGAAGGTATAGAGGTTCAAACCAAGGGAATGAGCAACCTGCTGAATGAAATAATTATAGAAAACTTTCCAGAAATAAAAAAGGAAACGGATATACAAATTGTGGATGCATACAGGACACCGAGCATACAAAATCACAGTAGACCAATGCCAAGACACATTGTTATGAAGATATACAATATACAGAACAAAGAGAAAATATTAAAAGCTACAAGAGAAAGGAGGCAGATTACATTCAGGGGTAAACCAATAAGGTTAACAACGGATTTTTCATCACAGACACTGAAAGCGAGAAGATCCTGGAACAACGTATTTCAAACACTGAAAGACAATGGATGCCAACCAAGAATTTTGCATCCAGCAAAATTAAGCTTCAGGTACGACAATGAAATAAAAATCGTTCATGATAAACAAAAGTTAAAAGAATTTGCAGCCAGAAAACCAGCATTGCAAAGCATCTTGAGCAAAACACTATACGAGGAAGAAATGAAAAACAATAACCAAAACCATCAGTGGGAAGTGCCTCAGTAAAGACAGAGGGCGGGGGGAAAGCTAATCATGGAGAAACAAACTAAATTAAAAAAAACAGATAAATAATCAAACATGGCTGGAAGTACAAACCATCTATCAATAGTAACTCTAAACGTTAATGGCCTAAACTCTCCAATAAAGCGACATAGGCTGGTAACATGGATTTAAAAAACAAATCCAACAATATGCTGCCTCCAGGAGACACATCTGATTGGAAAAGACATACACAGGCTGAAGGTGAAAGGTTGGGAAAAAATATACCACGCACACGGTCCTCGTAAGCAAGCAGGGGTGGCCATCCTCATATCGAATAAAATTGACTTCAAGACTAAGTTAATCAAAAGGGATAAGGAAGGACATTATATACTGTTAAAAGGAACCATTCCCCAACAAGACATAACAATTATCAATATTTATGCACCAAATAATGGTGCTGCGACGTTCATAAAACAAATTCTCCTCAAGTTCAAGAATCAAATAGACCACAACACAATAATTATGGGTGACTTCAACACACCTCTCTCACCATTGGACAGATCCTCCAAACAAAAGTTGAATAAAGAAACTATAGAACTCAATATCACAATCAATAACCTAGACTTAACTGACATATATAGAATATATCAACCATCATCAAGTGGATATACTTTTTTCTCAGCAGCACATGGATCCTTCTCAAAAATAGACCATATATTATGCCATAGGGCAACCCTCAGTAAATATAAAGGGGTGGAGATAATACCATGCATTTTATCTGATCATAATGGAATGAAACTGGAAATCAATGATAAAAGAAGGAAGGAAAAATCCTACATCACATGGAAAATGAACAATATGTTACTGAATGATCAATGGGTTACAGAAGACATAAAGGAGGAAATCAAAAAATTCTTAGAGATAAATGAAAATACAGACACAACATATCAGAATCTATGGGACACAATGAAAGCAGTTTTAAGAGGGAAATTCATCGCCTGGAGGTCATTCCAAAAAAAAGAAAAAACCAACAAATAAATGAGCTCACACTTCATCTCAATGCCCTAGAAAAGGAAGAGCAAAACAACAGCAAATGTAGCATAAGGCAAGAAATAATTAAAATCAGAGCGGAAATCAACGAAATGGAAACAAAAGAAACTATTGAAAAAATTGGCAAAACTAAAAGTTGGTTCTTCGAAAAAATAAATAAGATTGCCAGACCCTTAGCCATGCTAATGAAGACAAGAAGAGAGAGAACTCAAATTACTAACATACGGGATGAAAAAGGCAACATCACAACAGATACTACAGAAATACAGAAGATAATTAGGAATTATTTTGAAAACCTATATTCCAATAAAATAGAAGATAGTGAAGACATCGATAAATTTCTTAGGTCATATGATTTGCACAGACTGAGTCAGGAGGATACACACAATTTGAACAGACCAATATCAATGGATGAAATAGAAGCAGCAATCAAAAGACTACTAACCAAGAAAAGCCCAGGACCGGATGGGTATACAGCAGAGTTTTACAAAACCTTTAAAGAAGAATTAATACCAATACTTTTCAAGTTATTTCAGGAAATAGAAAAAGAGGGAGCTCTTCCAAATTCAATCTATGAGACCAACATCACCTTGATTCTGAAACCAGACAAAGACACCTCAAAGAAAGAAAACTACAGACCAATATCTCTAATGAACCTAGATGCAAAAATCCTCAATAAAATTCTGGCGAATCGGATACAAAAACACATCAAAAAAATTGTGCACCATGATCAAGTAGGATTCATCCCTGGGATGCAAGGATGGTTCAATATACGGAAATCAATAAATGTTATTCACCACATCAATAGACTTAAAGATAAGAACCATATGATCATCTCGATCAACGCAGAAAAAGCATTCGACAAAGTACAGCATCCCTTTATGTTCAAAACATTAGAAAAACTAGGGATAACAGAAACTTACCTCAACATTGTAAAAGCTATCTATGCTAAGCCTCAGGCTAGCATCATTCTGAATGGAGAAAAATTGAAGGCATTCCCTCTAAAATCTGGAACAAGACAGGGATGCCCTCTATCACCACTTCTATTCAATATAGTTCTCGAAACACTGGCCAGACCAATTAGACAGACGAAAGAAATTAAAGGCATAAAAATAGGAAAAGAAGAACTTAAATTATCACTATTTGCAGGAGACATGATTCTATACCTAGAAGACCCAAAAGGGTCTACAAAGAAACTATTAGAACTAATAAATGTATTCAGCAAAGTGGCAGGATATAAAATCAACACGCATAAATCAAAGGCATTTCTGTATATCAGCGACAAAACTTCTGAAACGGAAATGAGGAAAAACACCCCATTCACAATATCCTCAAAAAAATTAAAATACTTGGGAATCAACCTAACAAAAGAGGTGAAAGATTTATACAATGAAAACTACAGAACCCTAAAGAGAGAAATAGAAGAAGATCTTAGAAGATGGAAAAATATACCCTGTTCATGGATAGGCAGAACTAACATCATCAAAATGGCGATATTACCAAAAGTTCTCTATAGGTTTAATGCAATGCCTATCAAAATCCCAACGGCATTTCTTGTAGAAATAGATAAAGCAATCATGAAATTCATATGGAAAAATAAAAGACCCAGAATAGCAAAAGCAACTCTAAGCAGGAAGTGTGAATCAGGCGGTATAGCGATACCAGATTTCAAACTATATTACAGAGCAATAGTAACAAAAACAGCATGGTACTGGTACCAAAACAGGCGGGTGGACCAATGGTACAGAATAGAGGACACAGAGACTAATCCACAAAGTTACAACTATCTTATATTTGATAAAGGGGCTAAAAGCATGCGATGGAGGAAGGATAGCATCTTCAACAAATGGTGCTGGGAAAACTAGAAATCCATATGCAACAAAATGAAACTGAATCCCTTTCTCTCGCCATGCACAAAAGTTAACTCAAAATGGATCAAGGAGCTTGATATCAAATCAGAGACTCTGCGTCTGATAGAAGAAAAAGTTGGCTCCAATCTACATATTGTGGGGTTGGGCTCCAAATTCCTTAATAGGACACCCATAGCACAAGAGTTAATAACTAGAATCAACAAATGGGACTTACTTAAACTAAAAAGTTTTTTCTCAGCAAGGGAAACAATAAGAGAGGTAAATAGGGAGCCTACATCCTGGGAACAAATCTTTACTCCTCACACTTCAGATAGAGCCCTAATACCCAGAGTATACAAAGAACTCAAAAAATTAAACAATAAGATAACAAATAACCCAATCTACAAATGGGCCAAGGACCTGAACAGACACTTCTCAGAGGAAGACATACAATCAATCAACAAGTACATGAAAAAATGCTCACCATCTCTAGCAGTCAGAGAAATGCAAATCAAAACCACCCTAAGATACCATCTCACTCCAGTAAGATTAGTAGCCATTATGAAGTCAAACAACAACAAGTGCTGGCGAGGATGTGGGGAAAAGGGTACACTTGTACATTGCTGGTGGGACTGCAAATTGGTGCGGCCAATTTGGAAAGCAGTATGGAGATTCCTGGGAAAGCTGGGAATGGAACCACCATTTGACCCAGCTATTGCCCTTCTTGGACTATTCCCTGAAGACCTTAAAAGAGCGTACTACAGGGATACTGCCACATCGATGTTCATACAGCACAATTCACAGTAGCTAGACTGTGGAACCAACCTAGATGCCCTTCAATAGACGAATGGATTAAAAAAATGTGGCATTTATACACAATGGAGTATTATGCAGCACTAAAAAATGTCAAAATCATGGAATTTGCAGGGAAATGGATGGCATTAGAGCAGATTATGCTAAGTGAAGCTAACCAATCCCTAAAAAACAAATGCCAAATGTCTTCTTTGATATAATGAGAGCAACTAAGAACAGAGCAGGGAGGAAGAGCAGGAGGAAAAGATTAACATTAAACAGAGACATGAGGTGGGAGGGAAAGGGAGAGAAAAGGGAAATTGCATGGAAATGGAAGAAGACCCTCATTGTTATACAAAATTACATATAAGAAGTTATGAGGGGAATGGGAAAAAAAACAAGGAGAGAAATGAATTACAGTAGATGGGGTAGAGAGAGAAGATGGGAGGGGAGGGAGGGGGGATGGTAGAGGATAGGAAAGGTAGCAGAATACAACAGTTACTAATAGGGCATTATGTAAAAATGTGGATGTGTAACCAATGTGATTCTGCAATCTGTATTTGGGGTAAAAATGGGAGTTCATAACCCACTTGAATCTAATGTATGAAATATGATATGTCAAGAGCTTTGTAATGTTTTGAACAACCAATAAAAAAAATAAAATTAAATTTAAAAAAAAGGAGATACTGTAGACTCAAGAAAAAAAGCACAGTATAGTGGTGGGCAGTAGAAGTCATGGTAAAGAACCTTGAAAGTAAGTGCCATCAAAACAGGACATGTCCCTCTGACGTGTGCTTTTTTTTTTTTTTCCTTTTTGCTCATGAGTTATAATCATATATAACAGTGGGATTCATTGCTGCCTATTCATACATACACACAATATAACAGTATAACTTGATCCAATTCATTCTCCAGTATCTCCCTTATCCTCCCTTCCTCCCACCCCTGGTCCCCTTCCTCTATTCTACTGGTCCTCTGCCATTCTTTAAGCCAGGCATACCTCTCCCAGGAATAAATGATCAAGGGATAAAATCACTCAAAGCCTGTCAAAGATAAATTATATCAATTTCTGCCATTCCTATAGGACTCTTGGGTACAGTCATTTCACTCTTATTTAACCTCCAAACTCAAGAGGGACCCAGTTTTCAGAAAAGCTCAAAGGAGCTAAGTGATTCATGCAAGGTTGCAGGTTACAACCACAGGAGCCACCCCTCCAAGTCTATCCACATCATCTATCTGAGGAGTTGTGTTTCTTCAACTTGGTCATGAGCATACTTACAGAATTCTTTTCCACCTTCAGCTTGGTAAAATATGGTGTAGCTGCTGATAAAACCTCTTCTCTCACTCTTGGGAATCTCTTCCCATGTAATTGTAACTGTGTTCACACCAATATTTTCTGCCTTGGTTATAGGACCCCTCCATGGAGCTTGAGAGGACAGAAAGAAAAAAGACCAAATGGAAACACACTCCAGCAGATCCTTTCCCCAAAGAGGCCCTGTCCCTACTCAAACCAAAACCACAGTCCTTGAAGTGCAGAATGGAGGTTGAGGAGGGAACTGATGAGTCACCCTATTTGGAAGGATTGTTTTCTGCAATCATGCATCTTAAATAATAAGAAAAGTTGTATCAAAGACCATAGGGAAAAATACTTTATTTATATACCCCTAGCTCCAATGAGGCATCCAGTTCTTTCATTTATATGTGTTAAGTGTAGCTATTTTCAAGTAATTGAACACTGCCTCCACGGTCTACCTTTGCATATATAGCAGGAATTATTTTCTAACATTGAATCTGGAATATGTTAACTTCCACAGAGGTAAAAATAAATCTGATCAATTTGCTACTAAAGCACTTATTACATTAAAAAAATTAAGGGGAATGAAGGGAAGGTAGGGGAATGGGAATAGGAAGATAGTACAATGAATCAGACATTACTATCCTAAATGTGTATATGATTATACAATCAGAAGAATGAGAAGTTACACTCCATATAGGTATAATATGTGAAAATACATTCTACTATCATGTATAACTAGTGAGAAAAAATTGAAAAATAATTTTTAACATGTTTAACTTGTGATGAACTCTATAGGGTCCCTGAGTTGGTCTTCATTATTATTTCTGGTTGCAGCTCCATTTGCACTAAATTTTTTGGTGACTTTGAGAAAGTTGTTTCACCTCTCTGAGTCTCAGTTTTCCACTTTTGAAGTGAGAGAATTGAACTTGATGATCTTCAATGTCTACCCCACCTATAAAATCTAGTGACTCTATAACCTGACCCCAATATATCCAACACAGAGATGGCTACAAGATGGAAGTGCTGCACAATTGGATCTTCAGGCAACCATGAATGAGCTATAGACATTCACAACATTCTCTGAATATTGGACAGTCCCCATGGTTTCCCTTCACCCACAGGGCCTTGTTCATACATACCACATTCTTTAGCATACACCTGGATGGAATATGGTTCTCCCACTAGGTCTTGGATCAGTGGATACACAGAGATGTTATAGAGGTGAAAAGGTTTTAATTTATCTATATCAAAAAAAAGGAAAGAAAGGGAAAAAAACTAAGCTAATTGTAGAGTATGGCAGAGTAGAAGGAATGCTTAATGTCTAAGACCATAACTTGGAAGATATTTCAATGTTCCAACGGAAGATACTTCATTTCTCTACAATTTCCTTGATGATCTATAATGTCTATTTTTGTTCTAAGAATTTCTAATTAATTCTTAGAATTAAACGCTGGACTACTCTGATAAAATTACAAAACCATCCAAGTAAGATATCCAGTCCCTTCTCCATTACTGATTTTATCATATGATTTGGGGCAGTGCAGAATAAATTTAATCCTTTTGGCAATAGCACATCACCCTGGAGAACTGAGATACCATGAATTCTGGCTCCTTTGCCTGCCTGCATCCCCTACATGAGTGTAATTTTTTTTTTTTTTTTGGTACCAGGTCATTTAACCACTGAGTCACATCCCCAGTACCCCCTTTTTAAATTTTTCATCTTGAGACAGGGTCTCACTAAATTGCTTAAGGCCTCCCTAAGTTGCTGAGGCTGGCTTTGAACTTGTGATCCTCCTGTCCCAGCTTCCCAGGCTGCTAGGAGTACAGGCATGTACCACCACACCTGACTAGTATAATTCTTAGTATAGGTGCCATTACTAATGAAGGCCACTAAGCATTCAGAAATGGCTAGAGTGATAAGCTAAAGCCTCACTTATACATCTTGCATAGGGCAGGGACTTACTTGAAAATCAGCAATTCCCTATATCAGTCACCTGAGAAAGGGACCTTAACCAGGTCCTTAACCAGGCAGCAAAAACAGAAGGGAGTATCCTAAGTAGGACAGATAGTATCCAAACTGTGGTGTTATCCCCAAGATGATCAAGATATCTGGGTGTTAGGATAGTGTTTTCATCTGCGCCTGGATACAGGGAAAGGCTCCATGTTCTGAGACCCACAGTTTTCTGTGCCAGTGATACTTGGGAAATGCCAAACAGTGTGACACTTCAGTAAGCTTGTACAAGCTTGTCAAATGCTACTAACTACATTTACAGTTTTGAAGCCAAAGTTAAAAATTTAAAAGCTGATTAAAATGAAACCAAATCCTGCACAGAGGGAACTTAAAGGTTTGGCACCAGTCACCTTGTGGAATTGTCCAGTTCCTGGCCTGAGACACAGATTCCCAGGAGATGTCAGAGGGCTCCGAGTCCAAATCTGGGAACCACTCAACCATCCATGTGTCCACCATTGGAGCGGAGCTTTGCCATTCCACCACCAGCAGGTCCTGGGCAAAGTAGGCCTGCATGGCCTCAATGCACTGAAATGCTAAAAGACGACACAAAGACTGCTTCACAGCTGCTTGACCCAATGCCCCAACCACTTGGCATCCAATTATTGCCCAAATTGTGAAAGAAGGTCAAAGTTCAGGACTTCCACTACAGCCTCCCCTGAAGAGTTTGGAGGCAGCATGGCTCAGCTAACACCTTTAGACTTCTAGCCACCAGAACTATGAGACAATAAATTTCTCTTGTTTTAAGGCACATGGTTTGTGGTATTTTGTGACAGCAGTTATGGGACACTGAAAAGCACCCTTGGCTCAGTCTTCTCCCCTACCTGGCCTGTTTTCCCTTGTTTGCAGTTCTGATCTTTCCAGAGACATTTTTCTTAATAAATGATTTGCCCACAGATCCTGACCTGAAAATGAGAGAGCACTGGTTGAAAAAACCACACTCCTTCTGCTCACCAAACCAGGAGTTATGAGAAATAGGAGGAGCCAGGTCTAAAGTGCCCAGTGTGCTAACAAGATTGAGGAGATCATGAGAGGCAGGGAAAGAGTTCCAAGAGGCCATGTGGCAATTATAAAAGAGGAAAGGCCTTGCCTTACTGGGGGATTTTCAAAAAGAATTTTCCAAATCATTCTACTGAATATAGACTAATTGCTGGTCTTTCCATCGTTCAACAAGAACTTTTTGAACAATTATTCTAAATGCAACACATTTTCCACAGTGGTAGGAAACACAGCTCCTCCCTAGGAAAGGGGGAAAGCGCTTGACTATAAACACCATTAATTTCTTATTTTGCATGAAGACAAACACACTGGATCCAGCAAATTCTCAGTTACTGTTTCCCCTTTGCCAGCTCTCATGGCCCAACCTGATCTCTACTCCAGCATAGTTCCCTCCTCCTTCTCAGGTCCCTCACCACACAGTGGCTATGCTTTTTCACACCCTGCCTCAGAACACTGTTCAACTGCCTGATGGCTGAAGTCTCATAAAAACTCCCATGTTCAGGCAGAAGGAGCCTGAAGATTTATCTATTCCAATCTTGTTCTAAAGATGAGAACATGGGTACCCACAGAGGTAAGTAACCAGCCCAGCCCAGCATCACACAGCATCTGTGACCACAATTAACACCACGTCCAAGACTCTAGATAAAGTATATTATACCATTTTGGTTCATCTAGACTTGGGCTGGAATCTCATCTGAGAGTCCCTGGACAAGTTACTAAACTTTCCTGGATATCTGCATCATCTTGAAAGTGGATCTAACAGCATCTATATATATCATGGGTCATTTCAAAGTTAAAATGAGGTAATAGAAGGTATCTCAGCATAATGCCTGACACATACAAGTGGACAATATGTAACAATTATACTTTAAAAAATTATAACAATTCTCCAGTTATCTCTACTTTATTAAATAAAATTCTGAAGACCATTACTTTTTCTTTGTTCTTTCTTTTTTTGGTACTAGGGATTGAATCCAGGGGAGCTTTACCACTGAGTTATATCCCCAACCCTTTTTATTCATTTCTTCTTTCTTTAATTTTTAAAAGAAATAAAAACATTTTTTATTTTTATTCAAATAATAAATAATGTCTCCCCCCATATATTCTTTTTTTATTTGTTCTTTTTAGATATATATGAAAGTAGAGTGTATTTTGATGTATTATAAATACATGGCCAGCCATTTTTATTTATTGTTTATTTTGACACAAGGTCTCACCAACTTGCTCAGGGCCTTGCCATAGTACTTTCTTATATGTCTAGTACAGGAGTCTGTAAGCTTCCTCTGTAAAGAACCAGAAAATAAATATTTTAAGCTTTGCAGGCTAAATGGTCTCTATCACAACTACTTTGCCACTGTTGCACAAAAGAAGACATAAACAATATGTAAACAAACAGGTGTGGTGGTGTTTCAATAAAACTTGACAAAAACAGGTGTCAGACCAGGTTTGGACACAAGTCGGCCAACACTTCTATTCAAGGACCATTATAATCGACGTTTCTAACATAAAGATAGAGAAAACCTACATTAATTTAGCATAATTTTAGCTGAAGTATATTTTATAGCATTTTTAAATTGATAATTCATGTCTAATAGAAATTCAACTAACCGGAAATTTTTTTATGGCAATAATAATAATTAACACTAAGACAAAGATTTTCACATACAGAATCTCATTTAATATTTACAACAGTTCTATTAAGTTTGTGTTATTATGTAATAGCTCCATTTTACAAGGAGCCTAGATCTAGAGAGATGGGGTAACTTGCCCAAGGTTCATGGTATCGTGTGCAAGTGCACAGATTTGAACTCAGAGCTTGTTGGACTGTAGGGCCTTTGTCACTATTCCTCACTCTGGGGCCATACTAGGGAACTGAGATTACTATTTATCAAAATGCATACAAACAAAGTATGCATATTCCAAGGACAAAATGCATTTCTCAGAAACTTCATCATGAGAGTACCAGACAGGTAGGAACTAGAAAGTCAGGAACCAAGGACCACAGGGAATGCCTTTAAATACTAAAATAATATCAAGATTTTGCTCAAAACACAAAATACAAATTTCCAGGAGTTCTAAAATGATGGGGGAAATGGGTTAAGTTTAAGAAGAAAAGGCAGAGAAGTCTAAAGCTGGTTAGATAAATGCCTGAGCCAGTCTGGGGCAAACAAAGAGAGAGAGTGGCAAATGGGAGAGAACATTCTCTAACAATGGTGCTGACAAATCCCCACTGAGAGCGTTCTCTATGCTAACTGCTTTGTGCTTCTATAGGAATTGAAATTAGATTTTTAAAAAGAAAAAGGAAAGAAGAAAAGGAAGAAAGGAAGAAGAAAGGGAAAACAGAAATTCTGCCCATTGGACATGCATCTTATTGAAGGAATAAATGAGAAAACATATGGAATGAAGGACAGTACTAGTTTAATAGAGAAAAATAAATCAGAGGAAAGGAAATCTATTGTTTGCAGTTCTTGAATAAGAATCAAAAAGACATTTTAATCCAAAACAGGATGTAAAATATAAGTTTTTCTGGAAGCAGTAAGATCTTCAAAGCTTCTTAATCAAGTATAAGGTGCCACTGACTAGCAAGTATACACATTAGAATTTGTCCTAACTTGGGAGTCAAATGGAAGGGTAAAAAAGGAAGAAAACTAGAAAGTGAGCATTCAGACCCAGCAGCTGGGGACTGGTCAAGCCCACCTGCAGGAGATCAAGGGAGGCTTTGATCACTGAGGATCCTGATCAAATATGACCATTGCAAGTGGCTCAACCCAGCTTTCATCTGCTTGGACCAGGACAAACATGAGCTGTATGGAGAGCACCTAAGCTTTATTGTCTTTGTCCAACATTTATGAAGTCTCTAATTTGTAACACAGACTTTGTTCCAAAGAAACCATATTTCAGGGGACTCATTACCTACCAGTAGATTTATTCTCCACCAAAACCTAAAAAGTCCCCACTCCCTTGTCATTTTGACTCAAGAGAAGCAACCACCCTTGAGAGGACAGGACGTGCTATGAGCAGTTGGATGGGACCAGGCACCCACAAAAGAAGTTCACACTCTACTTACGCGTCTCATTGACAGCTGGAATCCTCAGGGTGGCCGCTGGAGAATTCCCAAGAGAATTATAAGAAGTCACAGACACCCAGTAGGTCTCACCTCCCAGGTACAGCTCACACTGCTGGGTGGTGGTATTAATTATCTGTGTGAGGTTAGTGTTGTTTTCTGGAAAGTATGATAGGATGTAGCCAAATGTTTTCTCCAGGACTGGGGCTCCTCTTGCTTTCTAAAGCCAAAGGAAACACAACTTATTGCCAACACCAGAAAGGAAAAAGGCATTGAGACAGTGAGAAGTGGTGAACAGAGGTTGGGGGTAATGTTAGCTCTGAGATGCTGACCTACAATCAGGGAATTATCCTTCAGTGATGAATACATACCCTGCTGCAGTGATATTAACCTTCAAGTACCAGAAGAAGCGATTTGCTAAAAGGCATCTTGGTACCTTTCAGCCTTTAGCATAAGCCCAATTTCATGAGACTAAATGAGGAGAATGCCCAAACCAGTGTAAGCAACACACCTCCAAGTCTTTCCCTCCATCCCACAAGGCAGTCGCCCTGAGCAATCTCAAGCCTGATCTGGCCCTGACTAACTTCTTCCTGGAAGCCTGGAGGGCTAGAGAGTACCTGTGCCTTTGTCTTTCATCTCCACACCTCCTACCCCTGAGGATACAGCAGGCTTCCCTAGACCAGGCACCCTAGCCAGGCATCCAGCTGGGGACTAAGTCATTCTGGTCTGCCCTACCAGTCCCAGACCCTTGGTCAAAAGCCAATATGAGGGGGTGGAGGGGCTCCAAGCCAAACTCCCAATTTTCAGCCTTGAACCTGAACCTACTAACCAGATGTTTTGCCTAGTAGTCACCATACTGAGTATTTCCCAGGATTTATAGGGATTCCCAGTGTTTTTGTTCTCTCTTGCTGATTACAAACACAGATGGAGAAGAATGACTGGGTGTGTAGTCAGTCAGGGCTTTAGAAGTCACTTTGGCCCATTGCCTTCCTTATTCAGGAATTTCCTTTACACAGACCACAGCATAAAAGACCAGATAAAACACTATTAATGACTAATATGCTTTTCTCTCTCAAGAAAACCTGTTCTCTTTTTAAAACCACAGCTTTGAGATAAAAATCATATTCTATAAAATTCACTCTTCGAAAGTGTATTAGTCCATGGTTTTCAGGATATTCATAGACTCATGCAACCATTAGCACTATCTAATTTTAGAGTATTTTAGTACTTTTTTTTTTTAACCAACTCAAATTCTTAGAAAAAGCTCTCCTGTCCAGGCAAAAGAAAAGCTAGTCCCAAGGCAAGGGGAAGTAGGAGGAGGTCATTGAAGCTGTCTTGCCTACTTCACAGGCTGGCTTACTTGATCCTTTCCCACCCCTGTGTAGTTAAGACCATATGTGGGTGTGTGTCATTGTTTATCTCCCTAAAAATTAATTGTTGAAAGAGTCATCTGTTTCCACTCTTGATAAAAGAAATCCCGGCGTCTGGGATTGATTCTCAAAGATTTCCCAACCCTGTCTGCTGCCTCTACAACCTGAGGGTGTCCCCTAGGGTGTGAAAGGAGAGGGACAAAGGCAGGGGGTGTTCCAACCCTGAATAATTGGAATTGAGATGTCACTTGGCTAACCAGAGTGATTTCTCCATTTTCAAAAGGATTTAAACTTGTCTGAACTTCAGCAAGTATGGGATTATTTAATGAGCATTATCTTGAGAATTTTGGAGACAACTTCTTCTCCCAACTTCCCATCTTTTCTCTCCTACTTCCCATGAAGTTTTTCCCTCTCTGTTTGTCCATTTCCTTTCCTACTTATTACCTCTCCCCCTCTTTTTCTGTCCTCTCCTACTTCCTTCTCTTATTACCTCTTCCTTTCTCCTTGTTCCTCACTCCCAGGCCTCCATCCTATATATGACCACATGGCCCCTCTTCTATCTTTGCACCCCGATATTCTGGTTCTTAAAGGGACACATGTGCCAGACATGTTGGCAATGACCGCAGGACACTGAACTGACCCCTGTCAGTGTTCCTCTTGGGTGTGTAGGGAGAGTCTTCACACTGGGTTCTAGTGCAGCCAGTTGGGATGGCTTATGGCAAAAGGTCACAGTGCCTCCTGTATTGTACTTCATAATGGTCCTAAATGTTAATGTTTCAGACCAAAGAGGGACCCAGGGTCTATAATGTGCATTGGGACATCTACAAGATGACCTCTGGGGCTCTTCTGAGCTGGGCAAACATTGAGATTTGAAGCATCATAAAGCCCTCTAGGAAAGGAAATTCAGGAGGTAAAATTTCAAGAATTATAGTGTTCACAGGGATAAAAGACCAAAGTTTTTTTTTGTTGTTGTTGTTGTTACTTGTTTGTTTAAACAGGGAAAAAACAAAGAAGAACTCAAAGGAAGGTCACCTTCCAGAGCAACTGCACTGGCCTCCTTCCATCCACCTCAGCTGGTCTCAGGACCCTCCACAGATCCAGGCCATCTGGAACTGAAAGGAACAAGATAGGTGCTCAACTTAGAAGGGAATTGCAATAGGAGATGGGGAAAGTTTGCTGAGCTACTGGGTGAGACAGGCAATGGAGAAGAATATGCTGGAGGGAGCCAGCTGAGGACGGCAGCGTGAAGAGATGGCACCCTTGCAATGACCAACAAGGTGGTCTTCATTTTGCGGTTGAGGAACTGGAAGGAACCAAACTTAAAAATAAAACTGCTCATCCTGGCATGCAGTGGTGCATGCCTGTAATCCCAGGAAGGCTGAAGCAGGAAGACTGAAAGTTCAAGGCTAGCCTGGGCAACTGAGACCTCAACAATTCAGCAAGAACCTGTCTCAAAATAAATAATAAAAAGGACTTGGGATGTAGCTCAGTGGCAAAGTGCCCTGTGTTCAATCCCAGTACCAAAAAACAAAACAAAACCTGTTCATCCCCAGTGCCAAAGGAAGGAAGGAAGAAGTGCACTTGGGTCTGATAACTTAACGAAAGAGAAAAAGAAAAGTACAATACAACCCCATTGTAATATAATTGATCCCCCAAATCTGGATGGAAATATGTCTATAAAGCTGGGAGTGACACAGATAATTGATAAGAAATTATGTATATATAATTTATACCATGTGTATGTCCAAAAAGAATGAACTTGAGTACTTATAATGGTATAAGATGTAGGGGGGAAAAAAAAGGAAAGTAACAAGGAAATAATCTTCACTGTTCCTCACTGTTCCTAAATTTTTATTTTATTTTATTTATTTATTTAGCTGTACTGGGAATTGAACCCAGGGTTTTACACATGCTGCATAAGCATTCTATCATTGAGTGACATCCTTTTTCTTTTAGTTTGAGACAGGGTCTTGCTAAGTTGCTGAGATTGTCCTCAAACTTGCAATCCTCCTACCTCAGCCTCCACAGTCACTGGATTACAGGTGTGTGTCATCACACTCAGATACTGAGCTCTAAATTTAATGCTGGTCTTCCCAGCAAGAAAAGTAAAAAAGAATAATTTCTCATAACCTGATAAAAAGAAAACACAGAAATTCATATGAAGAGATTATTGTTTTCTGCCTATGGACACTAAGTTCATAAATAGGATTTATCTCAAAAAGGACACAGGGTGACAAAAAGACCCAAAACTGCAATCCCAGGTGAGTAAAAGCATAGAAATACAATACAAACATGTTTCTCATGGTTGTCATCTATAAAACACAAGGGCATAAATTCTGAGTCAACTTGTTTCAGTAAAAACACAGTCTGAGAGTATAGGTTTCCAATGATCTAACTATACAGGGACAAAATGTTCAAAAACAAGGAATTTACATTTCACTTTCTCTCTGGACTATTTCTCTCAAATGTCTCAAGCAAGTTCTGACAAGGGATGGATCACCGGCAATCTGTAGTTCAACGCTCCGACACGTACCTGCAATGTAAAAATGCTGACCTGCTGATTAAAGAATGACCTACACACTTCAGCCAGGAGAGGCAAGCAGAAGGTACTAAAGAAATGTTCAGGAGACTAGTGGCCTACAATTTGGAGCAGAGAGGAAATGAACCTAATGAAGAGATGCAGCTGTTGCTCTCTGAATCCTTTCTTGAGGAAGTTATGTGGCTGGGATGCTATATTAGGTCCACAAAGAATGAAGCCTACCTCTAAGGCCAAAATCTGAACTATTTTAGTACTGAAAGACTGTCTTCAGGGATCTTTTTAACTTTAAATGATTGGGATCTTATAGTGAAATGAGTATCTGCAACTAAAGACAACCTTATAACATAGAAAAGTACACCAAAGGGCAATTAAGTCGATAACTTGTTTTGTCATCAAGGGAGAGTCACATTTCTACAACTACTCTTGCAGAAACAAAAGTATGAGTAACACAGGCTAGCTACTAGGGTTAGCATCTCCCAGTGAGATCTATTGTAATTTCATTTAAACTGTTTATAAGGTGATTGGAGCTGTTTAGACTTCACATGTGACTTCACCTGAATTCCACTGAGGTGTTGCCTTAAAAGCTCTCCCAGGAGTTTTCTATTTCCCAACAGTCTTTGTTGAATGACAAGACAGAACAGCCAATACTCAACTTTTCCAGGAAGAAACAGGCTGGTTTCAGCCTGTCTATAAGACAAGTGAGACATAAGCGCAGGTAAAGCCTCTCTCAGAGACAGCCTTAGTATAGGCCCACAAAACCATCAGACCTTCAAAGGTAACCCACAGAATTGGAGGGACTTGTTCTCTTTAATTTGCAGAATTTCTCTGTTCCAGTCATGTGGAAAGTCAAATTCAGGGATAATAATTTTGGGAGTAAGAAAGAAAATTCTAAACACAAAATGATCATTACAATCCAGTCCTAAGTAGTCATCTCAAGGATAAATACATAAATTGATTATTAAATAATCATCCCAGGCATTTTGACTTTTTTATTTTTGATTAGAAACCTTAGTGAAATTCTCCTTAGATTTATCTCATGGGCAGCCACTTAGTTTTAGTAGACAGCAATAATGAATGAGTTTAATTGAGCATTTTCTTCTTTCATTGAGGCCATTATTTCTTGCAGATATCCAAATAGATTTTCCATCAGATGCAGTTTTTAGTAAAAAAAACTGCCTGACTAGCATGTAAATCTTCTACAATTATTACAGTGAACTTTTCATTGACCATGAGTTGATAATGAATTTATAGTCTAACCAAAGGGTAGTGGGAGTAGTAACTCTGCATTTGTGGGGGAAAAAATTGAATTTTTCCAAGTCCATCAAAATACCTATGTATTCTAAGGCATCAATTGCCTGGACTGATTTAGAAACAATTAGATGTTGTGCTGTGGGGATACAATATGGGTATCCCCTCAACCAATAGCAAGCAGATACATACTGATGCCCTTGCTAAAGACCAAAAATAATAACAACTATCTTTTAGTAAGCATCACTATATTAAGCATTTTACCTGAATTATTTAACCCCAAATCATATATTTCATAATCCTCATTTCTGAAGCATAAGTAATTGCCCAATATCACAAGCTTCTAAATAATAAAGCTAAAAATTGAATCAAATTATACCAGTATCATTTAGGAAGTAGCTATTTAATGACAAAATGTAGGTATACAGCCCTATTAATATGATGAAATCCAAGAGAAAATAGGTAGTACCTCACATTTAACTTAGAATTTTTCAAATAATTAGATTTGAAATCATATATACTAGACAACTAGCATTTCACTGTAAAGTAGGAAAACAAAGGGTTTATGAGTTGGAAAATCAGAAATTGGGATTTGCTGGGAGGTTGGATATGCATTTTCATCAATTTCCTCTGGGATCCTGAAAATGCTGGGGGAGGGGGAGCCAATGTTCTTTATGGGTAACTTTGACAAATAAGCGTTGATTGATTTAATTAGCAAACGAGAACACCAGCATCAAGTGTTTCTGCAAATTACTCTTAACCAAGCTTGCTGAGCTAATAGATCACATGAAATTGTAAATCTTGTTTCTGACAGCAAAACAAGTTGAGGAAACTGACATTAGGGAATGGCTGGACTGTGAAGAACTTACCAGACTTGAGACTCTGAGCCATAAAGGCACCAGACAAGAAGAGTGACAGGCACAGAGAGAAGTGCTAGCCAAGGGCTGGGGTTGTGGCTCAGTGGTAGAGAGCTCAACCACCACATGTGAGGAACTGGGTTTGATCCTTAGCAACACATAAAAACAAATAACTAAAATAAAGGTATTGTGTCCAGCTATAACTAAAAATATATATATTTTTAAAAAGTGCTGGATAAAATACCATCCCACCCAAGGTAGTACTTAATCACCAAATTACCTGCTGAAAGGTGTAGCAGAGAAAAGATCAATGATATCCTGGGGCTTCATTGTAGTATTTTAAAGGGAGAGTTTAACTAAAATATAGACAATATGAACTATTTCAATAATACCACTGGGCCATTTTTTTATTGTGCAATTTATGTGCTGTTTGATATTTGTAAACTATTTTATTTGTATTGATTAGACATTTAGAAATGACATATATAGAATGTCAATATGTGCCAAATGTATGTAATTTTTAGTTTACATTAGGTCCACACCTTGGTTTTTTGTTTGTTTTGTTTTGTTGGTACTGGGGATTGGGCCTAGGACACTCTTCCACTGAGCCACATCCCCATCCCTTTTTTTTTCTTTTTTTTTAATATTTATTTTTTAGTTGTAGTTGGACACAATACCTTTACCTCACTTATTGATTTTTTTAAATGTGGTGCTAAGGATCGAACCCAAGGTCTCACACATGCGAGGTGAGCGCTCTACCGCTGAGCCTCAATCCCAACCCCCTCATCCCTTTTTATATTTTATTTAGAGACAGGGTCTCACTGAGTTGCTTAGGACCTCACTAAGTTGCTGAGGCTGTCTTTGAATTCATGATCCTTCTGCCTCAGCCTCCTGAGCTGCTAGGACAACACATGGCCCATACCTTGTTTTAACATACATTTTTATTTCTTTAAAATAAATAAATAGGGCTGGGATTGTGGCTCAGTGGTAGGGCACTCACTTAACTGTGCTGTGGGGATACAATATTGATTTTTATCATCACATAAAAATAAATAATAAAGTCATTGTGGCCACCTATAACTAAAAAAGTTTTATAAATAAATAAATATTTTATACATATAAAAAATATCATGTGTGAGGCACAGTTCTAAGCACTTAATGGTTTGGTATTTTCTATGATTTTTTTCTCCATATTACTAAAGCTATGTATATAAGAAAAGAAGCTCAGAGTGAGAAGAGCTTTTGGAGGATGTCTAACCCAATTCCCCATTTGCAGCATATGTTCTGAAACCATAGCCACTAAGGAGAAGTCCAGGCTAAGCATGAACATCCATTGGGGAATACAAGACTCACAAGGGATCAGACCATTTCCGGAATCCTATCACACGGGTAATCTGCCAAACATCTGTTAATATCAACTTGGTCTCATGGGAAATTCACGCAGGAGCCAGAGGAATGAACTGTTGGACCCAAGTAGAAGCTGAATCCAGATGTTATCTGAGATCCCCATGGAACTTGGCTATCTTGTCTTTTTCCTTCCCTTTCTGTCATTAAAGGTGATTTTTTTCCCATTTCATTAGTTATACTTTATATTTTTAGTAGTAGCTTCAGGATTTAAAATATATATCTTCAGTTTATAAAAGGATACCTTTAAATAATATTTAAAGGTATCCTTTTATAAACTTTTATAAACTTCTTCAGGTAGAATGTAAGAACCTTATAAGAACATTAAAGAAGAGATCTTTTGCCTTTGGGATACAAAGATGCTAAGGTAACTAACATCCTCAGATGAGCATAGCTTGCTCCCAGGGGCTCAGTGGGGACTATAAGTGCCTGTGGAGAGGGAACATGAGGACTCTCCAGGGCTTGGGATCACAGGATTCCATGATTCTCAAGCCTGGCACTTGACAAAATCTACCAGGTCTAGGCAGAGACAGCCCTACACCAGAGCACAAAAACAAGGAATTACAGAGAGCAGCTTGCCTTCTTCCTCGGTTAGTCCCATTTTTTCTTGGCTCCAGTCACTCCAAAAGTATGATCCTTTGACCATACATCGCATGGCTATGATGTATTCTGTGAAAGCCTGCAGCCCCGTGAGGTTGTAGACCAGATCATCACTCTGGAAGTCGACTTCGACCTGCGAGACAGAAAAAGCTCTCAGCTGAAATGGGGGCAGCACATCTTCCCTTTCCACATTTCTGCTTCACTACTCAATGCTCTCTCACCTTTCAGAACTAGAAACAGTGTATCTCTGATTTTAAAATACATCATTTTCATAAATAAACCTCCACACCTGCCTGGGGACCTAAATAGATGTAATCACCCCAAGAACCACCACCTCCCTCCCCACTTCCTGTCTCTGAGCTTGGGAACAGAGATTTCCATCTCTGGGCCTGGTGAATGATGTTCTAGAAGATACAAGGCAAAACTCCATGACCCAGGGCAAACTGGGCCTCAGCTTAAACTCAGAGGTGATTTCAGTACCTAGAAATACAGTTTCACAGATCAAGGGGGTTAGAGACCTTGGCAGCATCGAGGTCAATACCCTCAGGTCAGGGTTGAGACCCAGGAAAGTTAAGTGACCCCAAGACAACCTCAGCATTTGTGACCAGTGGAACTGGAACCAGAACACAAGTTTCTTCACTCCCAGTTTCTTTCTTTTACCCCAATATTCCATTACAAATGATTGGTCTTGGGGTAACCAATCAAGCTGCTTAAAGTCTCAACAGCCTGGATATATAAATTCATTTTGACACTCTCTTGGGAAGAACAATGGCCAATTAAATCAGTTCCCTTCTCTCAATCAGTGTCACTTTATCATTAGCAAAATAAAGGTGGTGTTTTATAAAATTTCTAAAAGTCCCTTCTGGAGCCAACCCTCCTTGAAAAACTAAAAATCTATTTTTTTTTTATTTCTGAGCACAGACATTATTGGAACAATGAAAATGGTTAGCTGTTAGTTTATTAAACTTATATTTAGTTGATTAATAAAAACAAATTTTACTAACAGGATGTCCATTTTATTAATACACAACCAGCAAAAGAGGGAAGTTCTTACATGTATGTAACAGCTGTGAAAGGAAGTACTTAATTATAGTCCTTAGGTCTAACTGTAATTGGGCAAAAGAAGAAAGTGTGTCTGTGACAGACAGCTGAGCACCCCAGCTACAGAGGGACTTCTGAAAGCCCAATCAAGTTGGGGGCAGAGGAAGGAGGTAGGACTTAGAGGCAATAATAGCATTTTCACTGTTAAAGCCCAGGCTCCTGGAGCATCCTCTTCCAAACAACCCCGGGAGATACTATGGCAACACACTAAGGTTACTGGGAACAAAACTTGAGACAATCTGTCATTCATAATGGGGTTATAAAAATAATTCTAATCCATATGCCAACTGTAAGGAGGTCTAATAATGCTCTATTTTACTTTTTATGCCTTTTAAAATGCAAAATATTTGCGGACACAGTGCCTATAATCCCAAGGGCTCAGGAGGCCAAGGCAGGAGGATTGCAAGTTCAAGGCCACCCTCAACAACTTAGTGAGGTCCTCAGCAATTTAGCAAGTCCCTGTCTATAAATTTAAGAAAAAAGTTTTAAAGTGCTGGTTGTGTGTCTCAGTGGTTAAGTGCCCCTAGGCTCAATCCCAGTACCCAAAAATAAAAATTTAAAAAAAACAAATATTCTTTTTAAATCTTTCTTAAAATAATCTTCCTAATTTTTCCTTCAGCACACACTTGGACTACTTGGTACTTCTCATCATGCTCAGGCTGAGAAAGCTTTGCCTCATCTAATCACTTAAACCTGCTGTTCCCAGCCCCGGCTACAGAAAAACCAAAACAGGCTGTTCAGTCTTTTCAACACTTTGCCTTTAAGGTAAATTGCCTTGGATTTATACCTTGGCTTTTGTCTAGTCGAGGAGCTATTGGCTCTCCCAGACTCCAGGCCTTCATACACAGGCTTAGATCTAAAGCCTCCCCACCTCCACCCAGGCCTTGGAATCCTACCAATACACTAATTAACTCCATCAGATTTGTTTCTAAGTCTATGCTCCATGCCAAATCCTAGCTCACCCAAAGAGTTTGTCATAGAGATGAGTCAGAAGTTTTGGTGCAAAGCCTAAATCAAACTCTTTAAACAGTCTTGAGATCCTTTTCTAGGATGTCCACATGGTTTCATCATAAAAAGGGGCAAACCCTGCGACAAGAACCGCAGGAAGGTTTAGAGGTTGCTGAAGTGTGGTCACATGAATGACAAACCTGGAGTCAGAAAACTTGGGCTTAGGTTTGCAACTTGCAGACCCTGTGATTTTGGTTTATTAATCTCTCTACATCTCAATTTCCTAATCTATAAGTGAGGATAGCAATGCCTCATGTATAGGATATTTGCAAGAATTAAATAGGTGACACATAAGAAAGCATTTTGTTACCCATATAACATCATACAAACATGGGTCTTCTTATATGGCCACGATGGGATTTTAGAATTAGTTTTACATGGTTTTGTTTGGTTAAACTGATGTTTGTTGAACACAGCCATGTGACAAGCAAAGGAAAAATAAAAATGACAATCAAGGTACCTGCATTTGAGTTTACAGTCTACTGAGGGGCGAATCTAATGAGTTTAAATGTGTTGATTGTTAAGTGCCATGACAGAGACTTACAAAGGGGGGGAACCTCGCTCAGACCCTAAGAAAGAAATATATCTCATCTAAGTTCTGAAAGATGAATAGAGGGGCAGGAGCACAGGTACAAAAGCAGAGGGTGTTCTAGGCAGAGATACAGAATAGGGAGACAGTGTGCTGCAAGGAAAACAAGCAATCCAGAATTACTACTGAAGTAAGCACAAAGTGAAAGACAAGGTTGGAGGGTAGGTGCGGCCTGGTCTCAGAAGGTTAAGGATTTGTACCTTTTTCCATGAGTGGGAACCATTAATATGAGGCTGGAGTGGGTTGGGTTGAGCTTAGCTGGGTCTAGAACTGAGGAGACTTGCTTGTGTTTGAAATCTGAAAGGAGAGAGTGAGTACTGGATGCTCTCTCTCCAGGAGAGCAGAAGGAAGGACATCTCACCTCATGGACAGAAAGAGAGGAGGCAAAGATGAATGCAGATGTGGGTGACTTTGTTAAAGGGTGGAGTAAAGAATGCCAAGAGTTGGAGCAACTTATATTTGTTGGCCTCACTTAGTGTTACACATAGTTGAGTAATTTGTCAGAGTGACATAGGCTCTGGTTTGTTTCTTGCTGAATCCTGTCTTAGAACATTTTGTGACTCTAGGACCCTACCAATAGAAAGAACTGGGGTGGCTAGTCAGTGCTGGTTGTGTGGCTGAACCACCCCACAGTTCCTCAGGTTTGCTAAGTATATGGCACTGGGCTTGAAGGAAGATGAGTTTGTGCTGTGCTGAGGCCTGCTCTGCTTAGGGGCTCCTTGAACTATAAATTGGTGAGTCCAATGTCATATAGTCAGGTTCGGGGAAGAAGGTTTCAGAGTTGGCTCAGAAAGGAAGCAGAAAGGGGGAGTGGCCAACATCATTCTCTCTGAATACAGGACAATGAAACTTGACAGATTTTCTTTTCTTAAAGCATTCTAGAATAGGATAGAACACAACAGACATCATATCTGAGGGTTTCTACTAGGAAAGGGTCTCATGATAGCTTCCTGGACATGATAAAAAATGACTGTCATGGTAATCAGGTGTATTCGTAGAAACCTGAGTAATGATTACACTCAAAGAAGGCAGCATTGGGGCTGGGGTTATGGCTCAGCAGTAGAGTGCCCCCCTAGCATGGGCAGGACCCGGGTTCGATCCTCAGCACCACATAAAAATAAAAGTGTTGTGTTGTGTCCATCTACACCTAAAAAGTAAATTAAAAAAAAAAAAAGAAGGCAGCATTGATGTCCCTGGACAGTCTACTGGCTTACCACAGGGCTCTGATGCAGTTACCACTTTTTTTTAATGATTAGATAAAGTCATAGAATTAAGTTATTAAATCTGAAGTAAGTTTATCATGTATTAAAAAGGAAGTAAAATGTTGAAAGTAAGTTTGGGGTAGCAGAATAAAGGTTCCAAGTGGAGTGACATGATGAATAAGGCCAAAATGAAGAAATTCAATAGGAACAAATATAGCATTTGAATTCAGGTTAAAAATCTAACAAGTTACTGGGTATGGTGGGGTCCACCTTTAATCTCAGAGACTTGGGAGGCTGAGGCAGGAAGATTGCAAGCTTGAGGTCAGCCTTAGTAACTTAGAGAGGCTCTAAACAACTTAGTGTCTCAAAATAAAAAATAAAAAGGGCTATGGATCTGGTTCAGTGGAAAAGCACGTCTAGGTTCAATTCTCAGTACCAAAAAACCAAATTGTACAATAGTGAAGATGTGTTTTTCTAGCAAATTTTGTGAGAGGGGAAAAGTCTTAAAGACATCTCCATAATGTGAGGTGGTCACCAAAAAATGAAGGATGATATAATTTCAGGCTGGGATGAAGGAAACAGGAGAATATCTTCTGAACCCCAAGGTAAGAAAAGGTTTCTTAAAACATAAAAAGCATTAAGCATAAAGGAAAAGTTTGATAAAAGTTGACATGATCAAAATTAAGAAGTTCTGTTCATCAAAATTCATCATTAATAAGACAGCAAAAAGGCAAGCTGAGGTGAGGCAGAACATCAAGGCAAAAGGGTGTGGCATAGGAAAGCTGCTCAGATCATGGCAATCAGGGAGAGAGAGAGGTCCACTCACAATGGACAAATTATATACCCCAAAGACACATCCCCAGTGACCTACCTCCTCTAGCCATATCCTATCTGCCTACAGCTACCACCCAGTTAATCCATTCAAGTGGATTGATAAGTTAAGGCTCTCATAACCCAATCATTTCACCTCTAATCTTTCTTGTTTTATCTCACACATGAGCTTTTAGGAGATTTCTCATATCTAAACCATAACACTTGAAATATAGTCAAGAAAAAATTATTTAAATGAGTGAAGTCATTTTAGAATTCTATAAATGAATCTGAAAAGCACAATATCAAGAGAATAAAACCAAACATAAAAAATACAAATTGCATAGATTCAATTTTTATGTTCCTCATGTATTTCTGCTGGGCACTTACACAATAGTGGGCACTCCTTAAATTATATTTTTCCAGAAAGCTGGCATAATGGTGAAATATTAAAAGCAAGTAAATGATTACTGTGAAAACAGGATAGTAGTTAACTGTAAGGAGAGAGAGTGTAATCATCAGAAAAAGGTAATCAAAGGGTTCTGGAATGCTGAAAATGTTCTATTCTTGACTTTGGTAGCTTTTACATGAGTGCCGACTTAATAGTAATTTGACAAATGCAATATATGTTTTGTTTACTTTCCAAGAGGTGTTATGCTTAAAATTTTTACTAAAGGTTGGAAAAAAAAAAAGAAATGGTCAAACCATAGCGTATCTGATAACCAACAGACCTAGAAACAAACCAAGGTAGAATGCAAAAGTAAAATTTTCATTCTTTAATGTGTCACTGTGCTCAGACTATAATACACCTGTGGTAAAACACCTATCCAATCTAAAAGATGTGAATAAACAACTGAAAAGTATAGTTCTTAGAATGTTACTTTTCTATTTACAATGTAAAAAGTTAAAAAGATTCTTAATCAACAAAGTTGTCAATGAATCTCTTCCTCAGGTCCTCTAATAGAAATATTATAAAGGTATAACTTACCCAATGGGTACTATTGATTGTCCTGAATCGAAGCTTGTATTTGAAATTAGATGAAGAAAATAACGAATCATGCCATTCCCATTTTATTTGCATCATTTTTTTGATGCCCGAAATTGGTTTCACAGAAAGAATCATAGGTGGTTCCATTTTCACTGAAAATAAAAATCATACAATTCTCATATTTGCAAGAAAATGAGATGCTAATAACATTAAGCCCAAACTGAAAGCACAATAAGCCTAGAAAATAAATAGTAGTACACATTTTGCTGTTTGCTTTATGCAGATGGCATAGCAGGGAAGTGCAAAAGGAATGTCTCAATCGAAATTAACTCCAAAAAAGGATTACCTAATGAAAAGAGGATTATTCCTGAGATTTTTCTGCAAATAAGTCTTTTACTGATTGGGTCATATCTTATGCCAGGAGGGAGGCAAATAAATAAAAATAATAATCAAGACAAACTATAGTTACACAATAAACTACAACAGAAATTTAAAGAGAGACTATATACCAGAAACTAAGCTATTCCCTGTATTTACCCTCCTCTTGGCCTCCCTCTCCTTGATCCCCATGATTAAGGAAACCCCATTAGAAAGAACTTCTCATTTTCTTTTCACACTGCAAATCTTCTAGCCCCAATTTTCTCTCTATGGAAATGTGTGTTGTTCTGATTATAAAAGTAGCATATGCTCAAATTTTTTTAATACACAAAATCAGGAAATTCTTCAAAACATGTTTTTTTTTAAGTTTCATAATATCTACCTTATGGATAAATGAAATTTATTTGACCACTTCTCTACTATTGTGCATTCATAGTGTTTCCAGTATTTTGTTTAAAGTTCCTTAATGACAGAGGCTAGTCTTGATCACAAAGTCCAGAATTAAAACCTGGCACATAGCCAGTATCAAATACTTGATAAGTGAATGAATAAACGGGTAATATATGAATCTTCCTCTAACATCTCTAATTATTTCCCTAATTCCCTTAGAATTGATTGGCTGGTTTTTCAAAAGGAAATACAGATATTTAGGTTAACAGCCACACAGTGCCATTTTGTTCCTAGAAACTACATCAATATCAGTTTCCATCAACAGTGTGTGAATACCCATCTCATCACACCCTAAAACTAGCTAGAATTTAATAGTACCATTGTGGATTTGGAAAAGCAAAATCCCTAGTTAGGGCCATATCATTAAATCACTGACTGCATTAAAATATTCAGAAATCTTTTAGTGACTACTCAAAAAATAATGTGTATTTTTTATGCCTGAACTAAAGGGTGACCAAATATATGACCACTCTATAGGTGGAGCTATAAACAATAGACATATTAAGTATTTCCATAAGATTACTGGTATTTAGGGAACACTTCATAAGTATTCTTGCAGGTGAATCATTTTGTCAATTCCTCTCAACCACATAACAAAGATGGCCATTTTACAGAGGAGATTTAGAAAAGGTAAATAAATTTCTAGTAACAACTAAGATAACACTCATTTATATCTATGCCAAAGTTCCTGCCTATATTTATTGCATTAAACTGTTTTCAGTCAGAGTAAACACAAATTCCTGTTATATAACCATTCAACTAATCAACTCTATCACCAAGGATATGTTATTAATTTTTTCCTGTGATTAAAATGGCTCTCAAAATAGTTCACTAGGAACTGGTGTGTATTGAGTCACATAAGCAAAATGGTAGACTAGGAAACTCCAAGTTTTTGTTCCTCCATGGAAACATTGAAAAAAAGAAAAACAAAAATGGACAGAAACTGAGTAGACTATGCTTGCAGGAACTCTGGAAACCTATCTGAGGTTTATACTAACCAATCTAGAATATCCAATCAAGAAAATGTCACCTTCAGAAAGGTAGGAAAAAAGTTTTATGGCAGTCTTATTTGCCTTGCTCCACACTGTCTGTGTTGTGTCAGTGGTCTTGGTAGAAAGGAGATGGCAACCCAGTTCCTAATTCCCTTCCTCCAACTGGAGGGAACAGAGTAGACCTTATTTACCACATTCTAACCTGTCTGAAGAAGAAAGGGCTGGCCTCTGTTTTGCCTAATTTGAATCTCAGGTTGGAAAAGTGTCAAGATCAGCTCATGAAAGCTATAGAAGGACTTCACACTTGTAGAAGCCTGGGGCAAGAAATTATGTAGGGAAACATAAAATAGACAATATAAGGTCCTAAAGAGAAGCTGAGTAAGATTCTTTGGAAAATTAGATCATTCAAATTTTGCTCTGTTGTATAGGATAATTGGGAGAGTACCATGAAGACTCAGACAAGAAGCATGCTAAGAAAAGACCCAAGCAGACTGTAAACTTTCACCTTGGATGGATCCCAAAACTCATAGCAAGCCTAGCTAACCTGTGAAAGACTGTCCCAGTAGAGTCAATATACAAACACTAGGAGAGGTGGCTATTGTTTCAAATATTAAATTTTCAACAATAATAAAAATGAAAAGAAATACAAAGAAACAAAACATATCCCATTCAAATAAATAAATTAAAGAAACTGTCCTTAAGGAATCTCAAACATCAAACTTAGTAAACGAATACTTTAAAATCATTGTCTTATTTGTGCTCAGAGCTAATCAAAAACATGGACAAATAACTAAAGGAAATCAGAAAAACAGTGTATGAACAAAATAAAAATGTTGAAAAAGAAGTTATAAAAAGAAACAAAACAAATTCTGAAACTGAAAACTTCAATAACTGAAAATTTTAAAATTTGGTAGAGTGATGCAAGAGTAAATTTGAACTGGCACAAGAAGAAATTAGCAAACTTGGAAATAAGAAAATTGAAATAACTAAATCTGAAGAGCAAAAAGAAAAAAGAATGAGGAAAAGTTAATAGAACCTGAGAGACTTGTGAGACATGATTAAGCAGGCCAATTATGCAATTGAGAGTCTCTGAAGGAGAATAGAGAAAGGAAATGTCACAAAAAATTATTCAAAGAAATAATGGGGAAACTTCCCATTTGATGAAATACATGAATCTACAAGTCCAAGAATCCCAAAAAAATCCCAAGTAAGATAAACCTAACTAAAAAGACCCACAATTAGACAGTAAAAAGATAAAACATTATCTCAAAAGCAGCGAGAAGCAACTCATAAACAAGGGATATGTCATGATATTATAAACTGATTTATCAACAGAAATCTTAGAGGCCAGAAGGCAGTGGCACGGTATATTTAAAGTGTTGGATTTTTTTTTAAGTTGTGTGTGGTACTGAGGATTGAGCTCAGTGATTCCATGTGCTAATGATTCCAGAGCTATAGCTACCTCTGAGCTACACCATCAACCTTTTTTAAAAATTATATTTCGAGAAAGGGTCTTGCTAAGTTGCCCAGGCTGGCCTCAAACTTACAATCCTCCTGCTACACCCTGAGTAGCTGAAATTATAGATACATGTCTTTGCACCCTGAGTAATTGAAATTATAGGTATGAGCCTTTGCACCCAGCTTTAAAAACAAAAAGAAAAATTTAAACTGGGACTTCTGTATCTAATAAAACTGTTCTTCAAAACTAAAAGAGAAATTAAGACATTGCCAGATAAACAAAAGCTAAAGGAGCTTATTACCAGTAGACCTGTTCTAAAAGAAATGCTAAAGGGAGTCCTTCATGTTGAAATAAAGGGATGCTAGACAGTAACTTGAAGCCAGTTGAAGATGGAAAGACCTCTGGTACAAATGAATACATGAGCAATCGAAAACAATTATTATTATGATTCTGGCTCATAAGTCCTTTTATTTTACATGGGACTTAAAAGACTAAAGCACTAAATTAATTATAAATCTCTATTAATGAGTATCTATGATATCCATGGCATCAAATGGGGAAGAATTGGGAAGGCATAAGTTCTGTATGCAATTCAAGGTAACATGGTATCAATTCAAATTAGATGATTATAAGTGTAGGTGATATATGTAATCCTCATGGTAACCACAAAGTAATTATTTATAGAATATACACAAGAGGAAATGAGAAGAAAACAAAAACATGTAACTACAATAAATCAACTAAATGCAAAGAAGGCAGTGATGAAGGAAATAAGAGGCCAAAAAGCTACAAATCATACAGGGAAAAGAATAAAATAGTGAAAATAATTCTCCTTTTTCAATTACTCTAAATGTAAAGGAACTAAACTCTCCTAACAAAAGGCATAGACTGGCAGACAAATTCTTTTAAATGATTCAATTGTATTCTATCTACAAGAGACTCACTTTCAATCTACAGTCAAAAGTTAAGTTGAAAGTAAAAAGATCAAAATGGCAGGAGGGGTTTCATGAAAATAGCAGGGAGGCCAATAGAGTAGAGGAAGGGGATCCAGAGGTGGGAGGGAAAGAAGAGGTACTCAGGAATGTAATTGACCAAATTATGCTATGTGCATGTACGTAAATGTGAAGACAAAGCCCACTATTACATTCAATTATAATTCACCAATAAAAAATACTTCTAAGAAAAAGACATTCAATACAAATAGTAACCCAAAGAGCAGAAGTAGGTATATTTATATCAGACAAAATAGACTTTAAGTTTTAAAAAGGACACATATTAAACATAGCAAAAGTTTGATTAGTCAGATAACTTATGACAGAAGTTAGACTAAAGTATACCCCAGCATTATCTATGGGGGGAAAAAAAGGTTTAAACAAAACTACCAGTGTAAACCTAAGTGGTGGGAGACGTGTTTCAGCTAGAAATCAAACTATTTTCAATTGCTCTTAAAGCACTGTCATAATCCCATCCAGTTGAATTTAAATACAATTCTAATTACAAATATATTATTGTTATTTATTGTATGCTTTTCTCTCATAAAAGGAATCCAAAAAATATTTTACTACTTAGCAACACTTTACCAGAACCTAGAAATAGATAATAAAACAGGTTCTTCAGAGATCAATTTTATAATTCTAGATTTTTACTATTTTAGACTAAAATTCTTCCATACTCCAAATTTAAAGCAGTGGAAAGTTACACAATATTTAAATATATACTAAATATAGTCAAAAGAGATTAGAAAATTTTGTTTAGTTTTCTTTGTAAACCAGGAATATATATAAAGAACTCATAAATTTCAAGAAAGAGGCAACTCAATTAAAAATGGGAAAAGAATATGAAGTAAAATTTCTCCAAAACCATATATGAATGGCCAAAAAAATATGAAAGATGCTCTACATCCTTAGTTTTTGGGTAAATGCAACTCAGAACCATAATACGATTGCATTTCACACCCACTAAGATGACTATAATCAAAATGAGGGACAACAGTTATTGTTAGTGTGTCTGTAAGTATATTGAGAAACCACAGCCTTTATAAATGGATGAGGAGAATGTTAAATGATACAGCCACTTTAATAACATTTGGTGGTTCTTCAAAAAGTTCTCTATCATATGACTCAGCAATTTCACTAGATATATATCTAAGAGAATTAAAACACACGCTCACATAAGAATTTTTACAAAAATATTCATAGCATTATTATTCATAATAATGAAAAAGTATTAAGAACCAAAATGTATATTAATGGATATATGGATAAACAAAATGTGATATATCCATCCAGTGGTATATCAATCAGCTGTAAAAAAGAAATGACATGCTACAGGGTGACAAACCTTGAAAACATTATTTGAATGAAAGAAGGCAGACACAAAAGGCCACAGAATATATGATTCTATTTATATGAAATGTTCATAATAGGCAAATCCATAGAGACAAAAGGTAGACCCGTACTTTCCTGAGGATGGGGAAAAGGTAAGTAAAGGATTGGGCACTTGCTACCCAAAGGGTCTGAAATTTCTGTATGGTATAATAAAAATGTTATGAATTAAATAGTGGTAGTGTTTGTACAACTTTGTAAATATGATAAAGACTACTGAACACTTTAAAAGGTGAACCTTATGTTATGTGAAGTATATCTCAATAAAGTAGTTATTTAAAAATTGCAGGAGTCAGTAGCAGTGGCACAAGCCTATAATCCCAGCAACTCGAAAGGCTGAAGCTGCAAGTTCAAGGCCAACTTCAGCAACTTAGCAAGACCCCTCTCAAAACAAAACAAAAAAATTAAAAAGACTGAGGATGTACTTCAGTGGTTAATCACCCGAGGTAAAATCCTCAGTACCAAAAAAGTAAATAAATAAAACACAGGAAAAAAGAGTCTTTAAAAAAGAATTGTAAAAGGTCAGAATTAGTGAGACATTTTTTAAAATAAGAGTTTTACTCTTCTTTCATGAGCAACAGTAATTTGTAATGTGTTTAGGGGAGGGGTCTTTTTGTTTATCTGAATTCAATTTATGTAACAAACTGCAAGAAGAAATCAGTGACCAGACATTTCTTCTCATTCCTTTTTTTCTTATTTGGCCAATTAATTCCTTCCTTGCTTGCTTTCTTCTCACTTTCTCCCTCACTCCCTCACTTCTTCCTTCCCCTCCTCTTTCCCTTGACTTTTTTCTTCCTTCTTTGATAAGAAAATGAGTTTTCTGAATATCCATAACACATACCTACTATTCCCTTGAACTTTGCATCTACAAATACATCTTTAAAGAAAAAAGAAAGAGAAGCGTAATTACTCAATAAAGACTATCTAAGAATTTCAAAGAACACTTACCTATGTCATTTAAGGTCCAATGTGTAATATCAGATGTAGCTACACCATCTTTATTTTCAGCTTTCACTTTAATGGTGAAGAAATCTGGGGGTGTTATAGTTGGACGGAAAAAAGAACACGAAGCACCTGTCGAACTATTGGCTTTACAAATGTCACGTTTTTTTCCAAAAGAGCTTTGAAGGAAAAAAAAATATTCAATGTGAGGTTAGTATAGTATTTTGGAAATGTAGTCATACTTAATATATTAAGCAGTATTTTTTAGTTTTACTCTGGGTTCCTCTTGAGGTCCAGGATGTTCTTTTCTTGGCTCAGGATTTGGTTTCCTTCTGCTTCAAAGAGAGGTCAAAGTTACCTGCTTATTTTCTCCTGAGATACCATGAGCCTTCGAGACCTCCTTGGAAACCCTGTGAGCCCACTTAAAAGCCAATCATAATGCTTTTCCTATTGGCAAGAAATAATGTATTGGCCTCTGAAATTCCAGATTATAATTTTGAGGCTTTATTATTTTTTAAAAGTCAAAGAGGATTTGTTAAATAAATTATGGTGGACATATAAGTAGGATTTTAACCAATGCTTTTTAATATATCTATATTTACTCATATGTAAAGATGGCTATATTCTGTTTTTGGTGAAAAAAAAAACCAGATGCATATCAAATTTGTAATGACCACAGTTGTATCAACATACATATTTATGTAACTATTCTAAAGATAGCTGGAAAGGCCCTAGTAAAAATGTTAAAGTTGTCACCTTTGAGTCTGTGATTTTTTAACATTCTTTATGTTTCAAATTGGACTTTTATCACTAGCATATATTGTTTTCAGAAAACTCATTAAAACACATAGATGGCCAGGTGTAGCAGTACAAACTTGTAATCCTGGCCACTGGGGAGGTTTATATAGAAGGATCACAAGTTCAAAGCCAGCCTCAACAACTTATCAAGGCCCTAAGCAACTTAGCAAGACCCTATCTCAAAATAAAAAATAATGAGGGCTGGGGATGTGACTCGGGGGCTGAGTGCCCCTGGGTTTAACATAGATGATGATGATAGATAGATCCTATCAAGTTGTAACTTTTACCTATATTAGCAGGAATCAGATGGGTGAGTAGAACCATAGCAAACATGATTCTGGGAATTGCAAAGGAGATAGAGACAAACATAAAAGGAAGTTCAACATGTAATGTGCCAGCGTCTGCTGGGGTAAGAGAAAGGAAAAGAGCTTATTTTTTTGTGGTGCTGGGGATTGAACCCAAGGCCTTTTGTGATTGTGAGGCAAGCACTCTATCAACTGAGCTATATACATCCCCAGCCCAAATCATAGAATCTTGAAACCAGAAAGGATCTCAAGGATTTATGATAGTTGTTACACCATGAAAAATGTACCCTCAGGGTAGCATTGTAGATGCAGCCTCTGAAAGCAGATTGATCTCTGTCAAAACTACTAAACACTACTACAGTAGCCCCCAAACTGCTGTAGACAATTTGTGATGAATGGGCAAGACTGGTTTCCAGTAAAACCTTACTTGTGGACACTGAAATTTGAATTTCATTATAATTTTCATATGACACCAAGTTTTCTTCTTATGATTTATGCTTTTGACCATTTTGACAACATAAAAAAATTGTTAGCCTGTGGGCCATATAAATACAGGAGATGGGTTGTGTCTGACCTGCAGGCTAATTTCCCCACCTCTGCTGTACTGTCTGATCCTTTACAGAAAGTTTACTGAGTCCTGTTTGAAAGCATTGATCTGACATAGATGCTCATTGATACATTGATACTGCAAAAAAATAGTGTTTGCCTTTTCCCTTTCTTTGTAAAACAATAAAAGAATTTCCCTTTCAGGACAAGATCTTCTGCTTAAAAAAAAAAAGTTTGGAACCATAGGCTCTCTTTTTAAAATGGAGAAGACAGTAGTTCATCTTGCAATGGTCCCAATATAAGTCCCTTTATTTTTAGGGGAACAAGAAGAAAATAATGTTTTATGAGCTATTTTCAACATTTTTTTAAAAGTACACATATAAAAACATCTAACTTTTGACTGGGATAATGATTTTTAATTATAGAAGTTTTATTCTAATAGAAACAGAATTAAAAGGGATGCTTTCAGTAGTAAAGAAAATTTGGGAATCATTGTCCTGGTGGAATTCTGTTTAGGGTTATACAATAAATTAGTGGCAGACTGAGGTAAATCCACTTCTCAGTGCTAGATCATAGCTCCACTTACTCTATCTTCATCCATGAAGAATGGACAGTTGTATAACATGCTGGAAGGACGAGGAGTATGTTGAATATAAGAAATAAATAGATTTTTCCACTCTGCTTGTAACTAATGACTACTCTCAGCCAATCCAGCAGCTCTAAGAGGAGGTCATTATGTGGCTCTATGTCCCCTCTCTGTGTAGCTGCAGATCCTGTCTGCATGGATGTAAGTATCCAAGATGTTACCCTAGCCACTGGATAGACAAAGTGGCCATACAGAAATTGTAACTGAGAAAATATTTTACTTCCTAAGTGACTTTGCTCATCAATGCATCAGGAGCCTCTACCTCTTCCCATGGCCCCCAGTGAAAGAACACACACTCCCATACTTACTAAGTTCTATTAACAACGTATGTGGTATAATTGATTTCCTTCTTTGGACTCCAAGTGCAAGTTAAATTTTTCTTATAATATAATATACAAGAAATGTTTTCAGGCTTTGCTGGCAGAGCTAAAAAAAATTTACATAGACACATTTTAGTAAACAATAAATATTGCCATCATTAAAAATTTCATTGAAAATGGGCTTACCAAAAGCTGGATTTGTTGGTTTAGTTGCTAGATATAATAGGTTCTCCTAGTCAGATTCATGAAGGACTCTAATTCTAGCTCTTCTAATTTTTTTATCACTCCCTTTGAAGAGTTAGAATTCTACTTTTTAATAATTATATTTTATATTCTTAAGAAACAACATTTGAGAAATAAAATTTATTTTTTTAAAAACAGGCAAATATTAAGCATTAGTTAAATACTAAGTAAAGCATTAAATTATACAATCATTCTGGATAATTGGGAAACAGATCATGTGAGCAAGTTCAAAATGCTGAACTATGCCACACTTCAACTGTAAGTTATTTATGCAAAAGATCCAATAATTGGGGATGGAGTAGTGGCTCAGTGGTAGAGCATTGCCTGACATGTGTGAGGCACTGGCTTCAATTCTCAGCATTGCATATAAATAAATAAAATAAAGGTCCATTGACAACTAAAAAATATTTTTTAAAAAGATCCAATTATTTTCTTTTCCCAGAATATAGCATAATAGAAAAATATCTTCAGCTGCATTTTCATATCTTGTTCCAGATAGTTCCCCACCCAGGAGAATAACCCAGGAATCAGAACCAGGATCTAAACACTTATGGAGTCCATAGGTAGAATTCAGGGGTCCAGGAACTTTAATGGGAAAATATCTACATCTTTATTTTTCACTATCTATTGTTGAAACTTAGAATTTCCTTCTATCATGAATGTAGTCGATAAACTACAATAATAATATATAATCATTATTATGTGTTTAGTTTAGGCTCTTAAAATTTTTTAAAAGGCTCTAGATATGTGTATTTGCATATATATTTATATATTTAATCTAAAAAATGAGCATTGTCCGCATGAGTAAAGGAGCCCCTAAAAATAACAAATAGGAATAAGGAAGAGCCATATGCCTTCATATTATGTCAATATTTCTAGCTCTTTCCAGAGAAGTTGCTTCCTCTAAGTCCTTCACTTTGCTACTTGCATACCGAAAACCACAAGAAAACTTTTGATCTCCAAGTCCAAATGCTTATCAAGACCCAAATTAATGGAACCTGAACCAAATAATACAGTTTATTACATGGAGACTAGAAGCTGCACCATTAACACATTCCACAAAGGGCCCACATAGTTTAAAACTTTTCCAGTGGAGTCCTTAGGTGGGTAAGAATATTCACAGACTCAACACTTCATAGCTGCCATGGGGAACATGCAAAGTCTAGAATAAGGAGAACTAAGGGCCAGTCAACAATGTCTTGAGAGTCTGGCACACTGACCAAGTCACTCCTATCTCCATGGCTCAGAGAGAATGTCAGTATGTGAATGTATGTGCATGTGTGTGTGTGCTATGTGTGATCTCACTCAGATGTGAAATCTAAAAACGATGATCTCACAAAAGTAGAGCGCATAATGGTGGTTACCAGGTGCTTGGGTGGTTAGAAGAAATGGGAGATGAGAAAATATTGGTCAAAGAATATAGAATTATAGATAGAAGTTATATTTTTTTAATGTCCAGAGTAGGCACATAAATAGGGACAGAAAAGAGGCAAGCAATTTCCTTGGGCTGAAAGAGGGAAGATATTTGGGGGAGAAGGAGAGAAATAGTGAATGACTATTAACTGTCATAAAGTTTCTCTTTGGGGTCATGAAAACTATAATAATAGCTGCACAATTCTGTAAGCATAACAATTACCAGTGTCTTAGAAACTTTCTTTTTTTGTTTGTTTTTAAATTTTTTTTTAGTTGTAGATGGACACAATACCTTTATTTATTTATTTATTTATTTATTTATTTATTTATATGTGGTGCTGAGGATCAAACCTAGTACCTCATGCATGCTAGGCAATAGCTCTACCACTGAGCTATAGCCCTAGCCTGGATTGAATATTTTCAATGGATACATAATATCATATATGAATTTGATCTCAATTGTTTTTAAAGAATCTAATTCATATAGTATATAAAAGAAGCAGCTTTGGTAACATATATTCAAAGTCATAAGCCATAAAGTATGTCACATATCTGGTCTTCAGGACTAAAAATGTCACGGGTATTAGGAGAAAAGAAAAAAAGTAACAAAAAAAAATGGAATTCCATTCAACCTGGGTTGTTTATATGGGGCTACAGTTGTTTTGCCCTTACTGCTTGCCATGTAGCAAGAGAGACCAATAGTCTAAAGAAGGACATTTGATACTGGTATTAGAAATTTGTGCTAAATAAAATGAATACTCATCAATATGTTCAATGTTCATCAATATGTCCTTCTCTTTGAAATACAGGAAGATTTTATTTCCTTGGTGCTTTGAACTCAGGCATGGGCATGCGACTCGTCTTGACCATTGACATATGAGAAGAAGTATTTAAACTCTGGAAAATAATGCCTTCCCTACCCTCCCACAGCCCAACATGTATTGATTCTTAATTTTTCAACATAAAATGGAATGAAACTAACAGATCTTAGATCTGCACAATATTCTATGGATATTAGGCCCGTAGTGTTGGGTTGGTACTTTGTAGAAATATGCTGTTGCTTCATTTCCCTTTATATCCTTGGAATTTATGGCAAAAAATGTAAAACTTGTCTATTTTTGTATTTACGTGTGTGTGTGTCTGTGTGTGTGTGTGTGTGTGTGTGTGTTATATAAAGCCACTGCAATCAACACAAAAACTGAGGAGACAAGCTCTTACCATCATACTCTCACAGTGATCTTAACTTTTTGGAGGTCATATAAGCCATCTTGCCAAACTTGCATATATAGGGGTATATATAAACTTGCAAGTACAGATGTGCTTGTACACACACACACACACACACACACACACACACAACATACACAAATTCAGGGCATTCACAAATTTCCTATTGTCTATAAGTGGGTGTCTTTTGGCACTGAAGTTAAAAATTCTTTTCCAAAGAAGGCAATAGGATAACCACAAGATCCATAAAAGGGTCAGGCTGACCTACCTGTCAGGCTGAATTTGTAGAGTAAAGGAAGTATCCATAGTGCCAAGATCCACATTTTTCCTGAATTAGCTCACGAAGGCTGGAGAGAGAGAGAGAGAGAGAGCTGAAAATGTCACCAGAGAGATTATTTCCTAACTCTTTCCAACAACCCCTTTCAAGTGACAAACAGATACTTGGGATTTTGCAGGTAGGAAGGGTTTTATTTTTATTCAATTTTATTCTGTTTTGTTGGCTGTGGTAACATAAATCTCTTCATAATCACTCCATCAATCCCAGATGTTATCACACAAATGTGTGATAACAATATATTTTCCTTTAGTCCATACTGCACTCTACTATGTAATATGAAAACTATAACCACCACCAAGAATCTGCTTCATGAAAAAAAAATACTATGTTTCTGTTCTACTCTGAAATCATCCTCAGGCCTTTGCCTCAGTTCCCAAGTATTCCAGCCAAATGGAACAACTCAGTTTCCCAAAAGCACCATACTTGTCACATATCCATGCTTTGTACATTCATCCAATGCCCCTTTCCCTTTGTGATATTATGATATATATATATATATATATATATATATATATATATATATATATATTTTTTTTTTTTTTGGTCTTCATCAAAACTGCCTCCCAAGACAGGTCATAGAAACTAGAATTTCTCTTTTCCAAGTTGGGTCACAGAAACTCAAACCTTCTTCTGCTTTTGTCTTGGAGCTGGACATAATGAAATTCTCTGACCTATTCAATAGACCATAGACCATAGGACTCCCTTCATCCACAGGGATCCTTCCCCATATTCTTGAGGAAAAAAACACTACACATACAGGTTTTGTTGTTTTTTTCCAGTCTATTAGAAATCATGCCTATGCAATTAAGTCTCCATAAAAATCAAAAGGACAGGGGTCCAGGAGCTTCCAGATAGCTAAACAGGTGGACATTCCTGAAGAGTGGTGGAAGTTCTGCACCCCTCCCCCAATATTTGTATTCTTTGTATTATTATTTATAATATTGTATATATAATATAACCTTGTATATATACATAATATTGTATGTAATATATGTATTATTCCTTATAATAAACCTGTTTCCCTGGGTTCTGTGAGCCATTTAAACAAATTAATTGAATCCAAGTAGGAAGTTGTAAACTCCAGCTTCTAGCCAGTCAATCAGAAGCACAGAAAAAACAACCTAGGTTTTATCATGGCATCTAAAATTGGGGAGAGGGATTTTTGGAGACTGAGCCTCCAACATGTGGGATCTATTGCTACCTCCAACAGAATATAATTGGATTACAGGACACCCTGCCATATCTGCTGCTGCAGAACTAATTGTTTGCTTGCTGGTAGGAGAAATCCCTACCCACCTGATGTCAGAAGCATTATGTGATGATTATGGTATGAGATTAGAAGAAAATCAAGACATTTTGTTTTTCCTGACACACACCCTTATTCCTGGGCAAATATCTTCCAAACTCATCTCAAAGCTAACCTTCTCTAAAATGTTGTCCCTGAATTCTCACACAGAGCTGAGCAGTCAATCCCTCCTTTGAGTCACCCCTTCCAACATGTCGTCTGTGCTATGGCACCTGTCACAGAGAATACTGTGTAATAGTTTACTTGCTAACTTCCCTATATACAGCCAGTTTTGTGAAAGTGAAATCTCTCTGATGCCTCTTTGAGGCCTTGTTATTCAAGGTAATGTCTGTAACATGTTAGACATTCAATTTTGCTTTTGTATCCTAGGGGTTTATTAGGACAAAAAGATTCCTGGCTCCTTGTCTTATCCTAGATGAGATGGTGACAGAGTCTAAAAATAAAAGAAATGCAAAAACAGTAACTCATTGTTTCAGAAGAAATGAATGATGCTACATTTTCATTTGACACATCCATAAGAAAAAAGGGTTTTCAATAAAATAAATCATTTCAGAAAAGGTCACATGCAGTTTTTACAAAGATAAAATTTTCCCATATATGAACCAACTGAAATATATAAGTAATCCAACATGCCTGAAGTAATAAAGCAGAATGAGAATGTAGATCTATAAATATAAATATATCATCAATAAAAACTGGTCACAGGCTTCCAGGTAAGAGGTGGAATAAAAGTGTCTTTTATGTGATTTACAAGAGTCAGGGCGACAAAAGAGAAATTATATTTTCAGAAGAAAAAGAGAGGAAGGGCCCTGAGAATGAATAAAGAGGTAATGGGAAAACTAAAAAGTAGAGAAAAGCAAAAAGGCAACTCAGAGAAAGCATAAAGCAGTCCATGACCCTAACCCTGGCCCCTTTTGGGAGGGAAACCTGATGATGCTGCAAGTACGAGTTATTGTTACCATGGTTTGTTTTCTCCTGAGTTGTACTGGGGACCAAGCCATCAGGTAAAGGATGCTAAGATGATCCTCACATAAAAGCGGAAGAGAGAACCATCTCAAAAGATGCACAAATCTTAATACAGAAACATAAGAAACACACACAAAAAAATGAAAAAACAAGGCAATATAACTCTTCCAAAGGTTCATAACTCTTCAGTAACTGAATCCAAAGACATCAAAGTAGATAAAATGCCCAAGAATTCAAAAGATTGATTTTTAAAATGATCAATGACATCAAAGAAGATACAAATAAACAACTGATGGATTAAGGAAGAGAATACAAGATATGAGAAAACAATTCAATAGAGATGACGATTCTGAAAATAAACTAGTCATAAATCTTAAGGAAACAAAAAACTCAACTGCAAACCTCACCAATTATTTTGGTTTAGTTATGAGGAGTCCCCCAGAAACTCGTGTGTGAAAAATGCAGAAATATTCAGAGGTGAATTGATTAGATTATGAGAGCTGTGACCTAATATGTGGATTAATTAATTAGATGGATTAATGATTTGAATGAATTAATGGGTGATAATTATAAGCAAGTAGGGCATGAATGATGGAACTAAATCACAGGAGGTTTCCCTTGGGAATTTATTATCCCTGACTCCTTGCACTCAAGATCTCTGTTTGCTGGCTGTCATGAATTGAGTAGTTTTTCTCTGTCATGCCCTTCTGCACGATGTTTTGCCTCACCTTAGGCCCAGAACTATGCAGTTGGCCAACTATGAAGTGAACCTCTTAAATTGTGAGCCAAAATAAACTTTTCCTCCTTGTCAGGTCTTTTGGTCACAGTGATAAAAAGCTGACTAACATTTCTCTCTCTCTCTCTCTCTTTTCCCCTTAACACCAATGTGATACTGCAATCTGTAAATGTGGAAAAATAAGAATTCATACCCCATTTGAATCAAATGTATGATATGTCAAGATCATTGTAATGTTTTGAGCAACTAATAAAAAAATTTTTTAAAAAAAGCTGACTAACATACCAATAGACTAAATCAAGCAGAAGAAAGAATATCAAGATTTGAAGACAAAGATTACAAATTATCACATTCAGAGAGTTTTAAAGGCAAAAAAGAAATCACAAACAGGGCAAACAATACCTGTGGGACAAAATTTAAAGACCAAACCTAAATAATTGGTTTAGACAAAGGAGCCAAGGTATAGACTAAAGGCATAGAAAATCTATTCCATAAAATAACAGGAGAAAATCTCCTTAATCTTAGGAGATGCTTACATCAAAGTAAAGGATTCATTTAGATAATGACCAGAAAATAACCTCTCCATGTCATATTGTAGTTAAATTGCCAAAAGTACACAACAAAGAAAGAATATTGAAAGCTGAAAGAGAGAGGTGCCAAGTCATTTATTAAGGCATATCCATTATATTAACATCATATTTCTCACCAGAAATTCTAAAAGCCAGGAGGGTGTGAAGTACTATAATTCAAATCCTACAAACAAAACAAACTGCTAATCTTCCAGCAATCTTTCAGAATTGAAAGTGAAATAAAACCTTCCAAGATTAGAACTAAAGGAATTAATGATCACTAAATCAGAATTACAGAAGATACTTAAGGGAATCCTATACATAAAGGATAAGGCAAGACAAACACAATCATAAAAGCATGGGAAAGAATAAATCTTACTAGAAAAGTTTAAAATCAAATGAGAATTAAGAATCAAACAAGATTTGCATTGTTGGTGGGACTTCAAATTAGTGTGAACACTTTGGAAAGCAATATGGAGATTCCTCAAAAAATTGGGAATGGAACCACCATGGGGCCCACCATATGGCCCACTTCTTGGTATATATCCAGAGGATTTCAAACCAGCATACTACAATGACACAGTCACATCAATGTTTATAGCAGCACAGTTCACAACAACCAAGCTATGGAGCAAAATGAGGTGCCTTTGAACAGATGAATGGATGATGGAAATGTGGCATATGCACAATGGAGTATTACTTAGCCATAAATAAGAATGACTTTATGGCATTTGCCCATAAATGGACGGAACTGGAGACTACCATGCTAAGTAAAATAAGCCAGTTCCAAAAAATCAAAGGTCAAAGATTTTCTCTGACATGTGAAAGATAATTCCAAATATTGGGAGGGGGAATAAAAAAGAATAAAAGAAAGATCAGTGGACAAAGGAATAAACAAAGGGGAATGAAGGAAAAGGAAGAGGGATGGATAAGGTAAGACAATGCAATGAATCTGACCTAACTTTCCAATGTATATATATATTAATATACCACAGTGAATCTCACCATCATGTACATCCACAAGACACTAATTTTTTAAAAAAAACTATGAGTAAATAGCAGAAAGTGTTGAGAGCCACAGCCGAAGGGGCCCCAGCAAACTTCCAGCTGCCGGCTGATGATTGGCTCACAGAGGCCCCAGCAACATCTAGCTGATTGGCTCCTCTGCGGTGATGCTCATTGGGCTGTTTCCCTGCCCTTTCAGACCACGGAGCTGCTCATTGGGGGACTTTTTTGGCTCCGCCCACGTGACCCAGCCAATCGGCCTCAAGAGCAGGAGGATTGTGGGAGGTGGAGAGAAGCTTGTGGGGGAGAGAGAGGCTTGTGGAAAGCCGGTTGTGGCAGTTGAGGCTCTGAGGGTTTTTCCTGAGAGGCTATTTTGTTTGGCATGTGTGGTTCTAAAAATAAAGTTAGTTTCTTTTGACAAGTGGCTC